TTGTGTAACCGTAACATCAGATATGAAGAGGATTGATATTATGAATTCATATTTATAACAAGTGTTATGAGGACGCCATAACTAGCAATAAAGTGTGGCTATTCCTGTACGATACCGGTACAGTTGCAATACGCACATTTATTTATTGGTTTTTTTTTATTCAATTTCTAAAATCAAAATTAAAAATTAAAACAAAAGCAAAGGCAACAGCCACCTTGAAATACATTCCTTTCCAAAACAAGAATAAGCTTATACAAATAAACAACATTTTTAAATCAAAAGGCCATTACAACAAATCATATATCAGCATTTTCAAATACATATGCAGAGAAATCGGGGTTTAAATATATTTCTTATAGTGTTAGGATTTCAAATTGCGCCCCTCTCAAGTGATTACCACAACATAATAGCCAATAACAACACAACACTACACAAAATACCTGTGTTATAAATATTATGAAGTAACTATGCGAATGCTACTTGTAAGATGGTATACAATTTATGCAGACCTACATTAAAAAAGTAAATAGAAGCAACAATTAGACTCACGTCAGTATTCCATCGGTTGAGAATATCGTCGTAGACTTCGACAAGACTGTCAATTTCAGATACAGCGTTCGTCGGCTTTGTGTGTATTCCGACAATCACGAAATCTTTCACAACTACAGTAATTAGGCAATACATAAGAAATAGTGTTAATTTTAAACACTTCTTTGCTTCTGGTGATTCCCCATATATTAAGTCCATCTAATATACCGTCTGGCAATATAATAATTGGTAATATAATTATTTACATTATTATAATTCACTTTTGTCAGTGAGAACGTTTACTTACTACTTATTTAATTGTTATGTTTATGTCTTTTGTCATACATACATTTCTGGTAATCTTAGAATAATTATCGAGATTGTGTCCGTTTTTTGTATTTTTTTTTTTGTTCGCCGTTTATGCATGGAATGAGCGCGAATGCGCTCATTCCATTCGACTACAGTATAGTCTTACGTGTCGCATTAGACTGTAAGCGGACGATGAACGGTTCCCTCTCATACAAGTCATCACCAGACAACTCATCCCCATCGTCATATTCGTAGCTGTCTATTACTTCAACCTCATCTGACCTTAAAAAGAATGGAGAACGAGCTGAGATGCCACAATATCATCATTATCGTCATCATAATCATCGTCATTGTCATCATAGTCGTCATGATCATCGTCATCATCATCATCATCGTTATCATCATCATCGTCGTCATCAGTCATCGTCGTCATCATCACCTTCGCCATCGCCATCGTCATCATCATCGACGTCATCATCATTGTCGTCGTCATCATCATCATTATCATCATCATCGTCGTCGTTACTATCGCTGTTGTTATTTTGTTGTTATATTGTTATATTTTTGTTGTTATATTGTTGTTGTTATATTGCTGTTGTTATATTATTGAGTGTTATGTTGCTGTTGTTGCTATGTTGTTGTTATGTTTTTGTGGTTGTTATATTGTTGTGGTTACTATTGCATGTTTATTGTGGTTGTTATGTTTGTTGTTGTGATTGTTATGTTGGTGTTCTGGTTGTTGTTATGGTGGTGGTTGTGGTAGTGGCTGTGGTTGTAATTATTATTCTTTTTGTTGCTATTGTTATTATTATAAGGAAAATCCGTCTATTAGGTCTATGTCGTAATTATGATTACCTGTAAATGAATGCATACTGCTCCTTGGATTTTGTACGACCAACACGTGAACCTATGACGTAATCATACGGATCATCTGCAACTCTTTAATAAAACAGTAATTAAATGGACCGATTTCTAGTCGATACCTTTTTTTTTAATAGGATTACATTTTTTTTTTCAGTCTTACCTTAGTTTTTGTGAAGTTATTAGATTTTAATTCAAAAAAGTTTATTAACTGTGTTGACATGCCATGTAATATAGAAGTCAGCTTTGTGTTGGAAGTGCTACCCTCTTATATTACAATAAATACATACCGCATTATTATATGACGGATAGCTACACTCGTATTATATACAACTACTTTCTCTTTCCTTTTAACTATATGACTGTATTTTGTTTAAATTGATCTTATTTCTATATTCGGGTTATCTGTTAAAAAATGTTTCTTGATAACTATGCTTTATCAATTGATTTTAATGACTGACTATCTTAAGTACACCGTACTTTACTCTTTGACCGGGAAGATTTGGATGCATTAGGTACCGTAAATGTATGTATCCAAAGATTAAGCGTATATAATAGTGTTAATATCAAGCTGTGTGTTTAAAATTTTAACATGTCGTATTTTTCTTGTATTTGTTATGCAATATGTTTCCATTCGGCAAGGTGGCGGGATTCTAGTCATTAAATGGAAGTTGTGTTCTGTACAATTGGTGCTCGATATTATAATATTTTATGTTTCTATATTCGAGCATTGTTTTTATTATTAATCTTTTTTGTTTATACTATGTTTACAGAGCATTGCAGTAGACCTAATTCGAATGCTATTTGTTTTTCAATAGTTACACCTCCTCAATTTAATAAAATCTAAATTTGGCATACTAAAAATATAATAGCAGAATTCATATAGACTATGGATATTATAGGCATATCCAGCTCATGAATGTAGGCATACTGATCACGTGCTAAGTTCCTTACTTATTAACTTCTTCCACGAGCTGCTCAATCGCTTCTCCTGAAGTGTCTCGAATTTCTTGCACCAAAATTAAGTCATAACGATTGATTATCTACAGAGATAAGGAAAACAAATTATAATCAAAACAAGATGACGCTTGGTTACAAATTCAACATTTTATTGCACTACAGGCTGTTTTATGAGGTACTTCCTCAATCATCAGGTGCTAGGCTCTGAATGAGACTGCAGAATAACAATCATGCATGGTGGAACTGCTAATTGCTGTATAGATTATATTGTTATATAGTTTATTGGTAAAAAGTTAATTAGTATACTCATTATTATTCATAGAGGTGATTAGAAGCTCTGTATTGTATAGGCCTATGTATATTGGTACCGCAGTAGAAATTTTCTTCTATGCCTACATGCAACTAATCAATTCATTCCTACGGTTAAGTGAGCTTAATTCAGGGTTACATATTATAATGAAATATTTCTCGAGCAAACACAGATTACAGCGTTTACTGATATTGGAGTATGGTTTGCATTTACCTAATATTTTCCACTTAATTTCATATTTTATATTAATCGGCTTTAAGTTTCAAAATGTATTGGCCAAGTGCCGTGCTGTTTTTGTACTTTTCATTACGGAATGAGCTACTATGTCCATTATATCTGCCCTTAAAAGTGTTTTCTGTCAGTCTGACATAAGTTTCTATTTTGTTGTCGTCTTGGCGTATGACTGTGGCCTGATATACAACTCCTTTGGTTAGGCACTTGTTGGATAGGGGGCACACGTCGTGACAATTGCATTCTTTGACGTCATTATCTGTGCGGATTGTGGTATTATTAAGTACTGATTTGTTGTGTGCAGAGATTATTGAACCCATATTCGGCATACAACTGTAACTTATCTTGATAGTGTTTCGGTTAAATATTTTCCTTAGTGCATGGTTGGGTGGGAAGCATTCATCCACAATTTCTAAAAACTCATGTCCAATTCTTGTCTTTACGTTATTGCTGTATGGAGGGTTGAACCAGGTGATGTTCCTTTTTCTTTTCCTTGTGTTGTCTCTTTGTGTGCTTTTAGCTGTGGGTTCATACGTTAATTTGTGCTCGTATCCAGCCTAAAAGAAACCATGCACTAAGGAAAATATTTAACCGAAACACTATCAAGATAAGTTACAGTTGTATGCCAAATATGGGTATATATATACAAGATAAGTGAACTGCAACTGTCCCACCATTTATGATTACGGCACTTTTAAATGGCCGGAAATGGCACTCGCATACTTAAAATTAAAACATTTAGGGAGCCCTAGTCGACGTCAGCGACACATTATGCTGTTATGTATCAACAAAACCCTTTTGGGTAAGGGTACTCAGAGACCATGTGGTTAGGACATCTTCGGGGCCCCGAGGAGTCGGGGGACATGCGATCCGCCGCACGAGAGCACATAGGTGTTACGCCCAGGGTTGCCATTTGGCCTTTTTGACGGCCAGATTCCTCAAATCTAGCCGTATTAAAATTTGCCTGGCCGTAGCATTTGAAAAGTCACGGCCAAACTATATTTGGCCGAATTTTTGAAAAGTTTACATTTTTTTTCATTATAGGCCTAATATAACGTAGACTTGTTTTGGATATTTTGTTTTTGTTAGCTTAAATTCTATATTTTCATCTTACTAGTGGAGGTTCTATCTCTTTTGAATATAAATTAAATACTGTACTTTAATTAATTTATTATTGCCCGCTTTGATTGTATAGCCCTAGGTGCTGCAGTGTTCTTTATGTAGAAAGCCATATATCAATGCTCACTCGGGTCCGATGGCACCTCCAATTTCAAGCACGTTTTGCAGAGACTTCGAAGTTGTGAATGTACCCACTGTTGTCTTCTAATCGCATTAAAATCTGATCGAATTTTGGCCGATATCGAAAAAAAGTTTGGCCGAATTTGGCCGTGAGATGGCGTGTGTTTGGCCGTGAAGCCTGTCGACAATCTGGCAACCCTGGTTACGCCACTGATTCATGATGCAAAGGGGCAAGATCTTTAATGATGTCTAATTTCTGAAGTATTGATTTATTATAGATGTCATCAAAACTGTCAATTTCAGATCTAATGACATTACGGGTCGACTTCAAGATTCTGAGAATTTTACAAACCATATAATACCGTACGTATACTGTGTTGCTAATTAAAACACTTTAAATTATTCTCATAACAGAAAGCATACTACACCTGGACTAGTACGTCAACCACCTCTGGCTTATCCATCTTTGCTCTTCCGAATATTTGAATATTGAAGGCAGCAATGTCAAGACCACCTTGTGCGAAACTATCGCATAGAATTCCGACCAAACAGAGCGAAACCAAAAGAAAAGAGAGTGACGCCATGCTCTCTGATTCTAAGATTAAGATAATACAGGCATGAACAATGTTATCAGTAATTGACCAAAACACTGTCAATATCTGCAAAACATCTTTATGAAAATATTATTTCTCATCTAGACCCAAGTCTTGCGTGATGTCTTAAGGTGTATAGGCCTAGCTACAGACGGGAAACATGTCCCGTTTCTCTGCTCTATACTTCTTATAGGAAACTTGCTTAATATACTCATGGAACCTATTATTACCTTAAGTCTTCAAAACAAAAATCTTCACTTAACAAACAACATTAATGTTTTATTATTATTATTATTTTAACTTATGAAATACGCCCCCTACTAGAGTCCTCCCACTGAAAATTCGTTTTGACACTGACAATGACGTAATTCTGGCAGCCTCTGAACTTACTGATAGTCACTTGATTGAGTAGGCCTATCCGATCAAATGAGGTTTTTGAATATAAAAATGTTTTGTTGCCTTTGAATTGAATTAACTACATACAGTTCCATTTGTTGTCAACCAATTTTTGGCGCTATGAAAAAGTGGTGGTTCCTCTAAATCGATAGTCTATTGACTGTTTACTGTACTTTCTTCAGGGGATCTTGCATCGATCGATAGTCAAAAATCGAAAATATTGAAATACCGTTGTTGAATAAATCTTGCATTTAGATATAAAAGAAAAAATAACGCTAACACTTACTTGCTATTGTGAGAAGTCGTGTTTGTTGATGCTAGCAGTAGGCCTAGACCTACAACAATGTGGCAGAAGTTTGTAGAATCCTATGTTGACACGCAAGCCATGGTTGTATTGTGAACCCAACGTGGGTATGCGAATCGTGTTGTGTATGGATGTACGTCCGTGCTGTCTGCTGCCAAACAGATATAAATAATCACCCAATGAAAATCGAAATATTGCACTTATCAATACTACGGCATGTGAGCTCTTCGTCAAAGGACATGTAGCTCAGGTACTGCCTACATTATTCCAATATTGAATTAAAGATTGTTTAGTTTATGTTTATTGCTTTTAGGGCCTTGTGTTATGTTTGTTTCACAGGAACCATTCCCTCGTCGCGACTTCCTTTGGTTGTTTCCGATAAATGTCCGCTTACTCACCAATGACAGCAAGTTGGAATAATAAGCTCAGTGGTTAAGATTCTTGCCTTCAGATCCCAGGGTCCTGGGTTCAATTCCTGTCACAGCAGGAGTTTTTCTCACTACTAAAAACAACTCCACTCTCTAAGCCTCATAAAGAGACTTAGTTTATAAAGCATCACTCCATCCTGTAAGTGGCGAGTGTACTTGCTGTTGGATGTGAGGGAAATAAAATAAATAATATATTAACAAATAATGGTAGAAACCGACCCAACTATTATCAATAAAAGAACAGAACTAATCGCTAAGAGCCGTCATATCAACAAACCACCGGACCGAGAAAAAAGAACGTTAACAAAATACTTATTCCTGTGTAAAAAAGCAAAGCACATAACATCATCCATTACTTGTCTGATCATTGCTAATTCTTGAAACTTACAGTAACAACAAGCGTATTCTTATATATATATATATATATACACAGACTATTATAACCGTATCCAGTAAGCTATATATTAAAAACACACACACATATTGTTCATTTATAATCATATCTATTGACATATTTAGCGCTTTGCGTCAAAAGGGCATCTGAAAGCGCTTCATTTTCAAAGCACACTCATTTAAACTGCAAAAGCTGGAATTTAGTAATGTTAGTAAAACTACAACTGTGGCAAAGCTCAAACATCTAGATGTGTATAAGAGACAGTATATATATATATATATATATATATACACACTCGAACATATTCGAACATTACTAAACCATGTAATTTATGTTTATATGAGAAATTCATTATCATATGTCACCCTGAACTATGTTCACTTAACAGTAAAAGTGAACTACTGTAGTATCAACATGCAGACATAGAAGGAAATTTTTACTCAGTCATAGATAGCTCAGCCACTATCTTCCTAGCATAAACAAATATAACTATTCCCTAAACAATTTCTATATAATCAGCTAATTAGACACAATGTATTGTTCACTTAATACCTAATTATGTATACATGACCTTGAGGTTCCTCCTCTTTGCCGTATGTATAAAGCATTACCACTAGACGATTTAAAGTTTATCTCTTCACGTGTTACATGAAAGCTACTATGATAGGCAAAAGGCATTTATGTAAAAGGACACGTACGAGGAAATTCATTTGAAAATGTACTGGAACACAACCGATCTATTTGGACATTTTTCAAGTCTAAAATACAATACTGAGCAAAAGTGAAAGTATAGTAGCTAGAAGCTACATGTACGTTAAACAGTAGTTATAGCAACAAAAGTAAACAATTAGCTTGTCAGTCAGGAGAAATGCATGCATTGCAATCTACATACTAGTCTACGTTGAAATTATTAAAAATAATTGTAAACATTAAGTTATCATATTGCAGTATATATATAACCGGTATGGTACATGGTACTGTATCTGTATAGGCCTAATTAAGAGACACTGTACCAACTATAATTGAGTACGAAATAGCCCTGTAATATATATTATCCATTTGAATTAAATAATATATTGTGTTTCTGAATGATATAAATAACGTACTTATGGTGGTCTGAGTTAATTAAAAGCTTTTCTTACAAATTCTGCAAATTTCATAAATAATGCGTAATAGTTCGAAATTGTTGACAACAATATTGTTGTCAAATGGATAAACAGTAGAAATGCGCAGCAATTGGGAATCGGGGATTTTTTTGTTGCAATTTTGTCCACTCAAAATCGTAGATTGCTCTGATTATAAAATATTCTTTCATCATAGACTGTCAATAATTATAGCAATGGACCACTCCGGACTGTCAACCAAACTTAAAACTGACCAATCAGAACAGGGCCACGGATACGCTCGTGTATCACAAACACACGCACATACACACACACACACACCCATTCATACGCACGTGTAATTTGTCCACACACACAAACGCACGTGCTTTGTGTATGTTTATTACGCCGGCGTTTTGTGCGACCTTAGCAACAATATCCAAGGGCGGGGCCGGCTTAGCAGAAAGGTCAATTGTTTGTAAATTTACTCTTCTTCTTCTTCTTTTTCTTCTTCTTCTTCTTCTTCTTCTTCTTCTTCTTCTTCTTCTTCTTCTTCTTCTTCTTCTTCCTCTCCTTCTTCTTCTTCTTAATAATGAGCTAACCTCAATTTGAAGGCTCTGCCCCTCCAGCTCAGTTTTGCATCTGAGTATCAGGCTGAGTGGTATTCTATTCCTTTTTTATTTTCTACTTGTAATTACATCTTTTTAATTTATTATTATTATTATTATTATTATTATTATTATTATTATTATTATTACTCATTCACGTATATCTGACTGCTAAATTAAACATTACTATGTGTCGACCTACTTAGTTATATTTGTTTATATATTTATAAACAATCTATTATTTTGCATGTACTTATTCAATAATGAGCAATTAACTAACCTATTACTCGATAAGGTATTAGTCTCTAATTGTTTCCATTATAAATAAGTTCCCCTAACGAGGAAAGTAAATATTATGACCTTTGTTATGAGTAAAGAATATCTATATCAATAAATGTACGCATTATAATAACAATATAAAAGCAATTGAATTTAACTGTAATTTTGTTCGTTCGTTTGAGCGAACACCCAGCCTAATGTCTTAAATTTAACAAGGTGCCGATTTTCTCTTAGCAGCGAGAGAGGCATTATTCTTCAGTATACTAAATTGTACATTAACATTCCTAACTAAAGAAATTAATTTTGTTTTTAAGTATTCTTTCCAATAAACTGAAGAAACTAGACTCCCTAACCTGCTTATAAATAATGTACAAAGCAAACATGAAAAATACAATTACTTAGCTTACATTAAGATGTCTGTTTTTTCCATCTAATTAACATAAAGTAAATGCTTAACACAACTGGGAGATAGTATTTGTGACACTGTATACTGTATAGACAATTTAAACATAGTACCAGTAAATAACTGTTCTATCCTGATAGATGTTGTTGGCGCACCAAATCCGTTAGAATAGGCCTACCTGCATTCCAGCATTCATATACGTCTTTGTATAGTCCTAAATATTTCAATCTCAATTATACTTTATTGTCCATTCATATAATTTGAACTGGCATATTGATCATTTACAAATTTTAACAACAAAGGCAAAAGCAGAACATCCATAAAATACACAATTTATCAATACTCACAATAAGAATTTATCATCATAGAAGACATAAGCATATTCGAGTCATAAGTATCCGAGGATCAAACCACAAATTGTAACCAACAACGAAAATGAAACAGTAAAATATTGATAACTATCCACTCTGAATTTAGAACCAGTTAGGGGTACATTTAATGACAAATAGACCTCATCCATAGCCATCCAAATTTACAAACGCGTTTCAACCCACTGTTGAATAACAGCATCTTATGGGGACTAAAATGCCTTAACGTGAACAAGGTAGGCTTATGAGAACCAATGCTTGATTGACATGTGTCATTCACTTTATAACTCGTCATTTGGATACCTGTAAAAAAAGTTTAAAGAAGAAATGAGAAGAAAAATCGTAGGAAAGGAAAAAATCGAGAGATAAAGCAAAGTGAAAAATATATTTCTAAATTAAATGTACAATTGTATATAAATTTTATATAAAATGCTAAATTGATGAATAGATAGAGCATATATTTACGTTGGATCAGGAAGAAGCTCCAACTCAATCGGAAAGTGATCACTGACATCGTCCATCTGGTAAAAAAATGAACTTTTTAGAGCAAACTGTTATAAAATGGTCCCAAATACAGTATGGCCAACAACAACATAAAACAACACCTCACCTCATATCCCTTTACTTTTGTAAAATTCAACCCATTTTGAGTGATGCAATAAAGACTTACAACAGCCTATAACCTATACAAAAACTGAAACACGGTAACTGATGTATCGAAAGTATCAAAATGCACGCAACCGTATTGGAGTATGTATTATACCTGTCTCTTATACACATCTAGATGTGTATAAGAGACAGGTTACGTGTTGTATAGTATATTTGATTGACTGATTGATTTGTCCTCCCAGTGGGGCAACAACGAGTCGTGGGTCCCGGGCCGAAACAATGTTAGGAGCACCATGCATATCAGTAAAACATTTTTGCTCACGAAGTGACACCGGGTGGGTAATCCCCCTAGAGATAAGTGTTAAGGATGAAAAGACTTTAATTATTAGACAATGCAAAAAAATGTTGTGTGAATAATATTTTGCACACACATTTTTAATTTCAATATTTGCGTGCAACATATATATATTAGGTCTGTGCATATACACGTGCATTTTCTTGGCTTTGCCAATGTAAATAAGTATTATCAAACAATCATTCAATCAATCGTTTCAGGGTGGGTCCAGGAGACACGGGTCTCCTGGACCCACCAGAAAAATAAAGAAGAAAGAGAGAAAGACCAGAAAAAAGAGAGCATCACTCTATGCCTACTCCAAAACAAGCTATTTTTTTAAATGTCTGTGGTCTCCACCATCTCTAAACAAAATTCTTTCTCTATATCTGTCCCTTATGGGTTAATGGATATATTCGGTGTAAACACCAAGGAGAACCCACAAAAGTCGGAAGAATACTTGTTTCCAGTGAGGTCCTTCTGGTGGTGATTGGGCACTACACCGGCAGTGGCCTAACGATGGGCCCGGGGCCCTGTGGATTTCTGAGACTGGGAGCCCCTTTTTGATCCGGTCACTACTTTGATTGTGGGTATTTAAATGTGCTCGTTTTTCTAATATTTCGCATTGTATTCTAGATTGCTTTTAACAACGATTTAAATTATATGGCAGGCCTATCAATTGCAGATCAAGGTATTCAAAATAGAGGGAATGTGGGTAGGGAGGGACTTTCACACACCTATGCCACCTCAGCCCCAGCATGGTTGGGATTAAGGTAAGATCATTTATGAATACGGCACCTCGAAGTAGCCGGAAATGGCACTCATATAGATTTAAAATGCGAGTATAATTTCCATTTTTAAACAATTGGAAAATTTAAGGGGAGCCCCAGGCCGACAGGGCCCCCATTAAACCTTCACTGGATATACTGTGATATATGTCTTACAGTCAATCTTGGAGACACATTATGCTGTTATGTATCAACAAAGCCCTTTTGGGTAAGGGTGCCCTAGCGAGGACCCTATGGGTTGGGGCACCTTCGGGGCCTTAGGTGACAGGGGCCCTGCGGACCGCGGACCACTGTCCACGAGTGCATTGTGGTTACGCCACTGTACATCGGGAAACAATTTCTACTCATTTCCAATTCGTATACTGCGCTCTTTAACGTGCACACAGGCCATAATGCACACGGGACCAACAGGTTAAACATCTCATCCGAAAGACGGTGCGCTATCGTAACTTGCATTTTAGCCCTCCAGCTGAAATACAAGGAAGCGCAGTGATGGGAATTCAATACACCACCTCCTTCCTAAAGCCCCTTCCAATTACCATCTTAGAAAACTTAAAGAATTTATCCTCCAAAAACGCTAGAAAGGACTAACTGTACAGGCGAATGCTTTGTTCATTTTTAAGTCAGTAATTAAAATAACTATAATAATCTCACTACAATAATTGTAATTACCATAATACTACTACTACTACTACTACTACTACTACTACTACTACTACTACTAATAATAATAATAATAATAATAATAATAATAATAATAATAATAATAATAATAATAATAATAACAATAATAATAATAATAGTAATAATTTTAATATTGGTTGCCTTTTTGCCCTTTAAAACTGTTTCTTTTTGCTGTTTTTGTGATGTGGGTCCTTTTTGTTGAAAAATGTTTAAATGTTGATTGTTTAGATTTTTCTGCTTAAACCCTTTACTTTTGTAAAATTCAACCCATTTTGAGTGATGCAATAAAGACTCACAACAGCCTATAACCTATACAGAAACTGAAACACGGTAACTGATGTATCGAAAGTATCAAAATGCACGCAATCGTATTGGAGTATGTATTATACTATCTTATCTAAGAAAGCATAGTGTTAAACAATTAATCGTACTGAACATTAAAAAGTAACAGATCAAGAAAATGAGTTAGAGCATGTTAAAACAAAAAATTGTTTAGATTTTTCTGCTTAAACCCTTTACTTTTGTAAAATTCAACCCATTTTGAGTGATGCAATAAAGACTTACAACAGCCTATAACCTATACAAAAACTGAAACACGGTAACTGATGTATCGAAAGTATCAAAATGCACGCAACCGTATTGGAGTATGTATTATACTATCTTATCTAAGAAAGCATAGTGTTAAACAATTAATCGTACTGAACATTAAAAAGTAACAGATCAAGAAAATGAGTTAGAGCATGTTAAAACAAAAAATAGGTACCATTCCAATACTTAATAATAGGCTATCTATTTTCTTCCTCCATGATTACAGTAACACTATTAAAATTCAGAGACGGACAAACATTTACTTCCGCCATAATATATTGTACAGTAAGCCTACGATTTCTGGATCACTTTTTGTTCAGGTCATCTAATAGGCTTGAAAATATCAATATAAAGACGTTTGAGTAACAAAATTCATCGATTGTTTTTAATAAAGTGTCACTTTGATGTTGCTCTGAAACATGTTAAGGCCAATCTGAATAAAATGACCATCGTCCTTTAAGGTCCAATTGATGATGTTGCAGGCGTTTATCATCCGAATATCCGAATTATTAGTAGGCCTATAATGTACTGTAGGCCTATACATTATTTTAATCGATTTCAACATGCTGTGTATAATATTTAATAATAGGCCTACTGTGATGGATAACCATGTATTTTATTCTTTATTTATTGACATGTTTAAAGTCGGAATCGGATTTTAAGGTGGGTAGTTATGCAGTCGTCCGGGGCTCATACATTTTTGAAAAAAATTAAAAGAAAATATTTTGTCAAAAGCGTTGTATTATTAGATTGCTCGGTAAAGTAGTAAGTAGGGTCCCATCTTTCCGGGACTAATTTGGACATGGAGGAAGTACCGGTAAGTGTTTCCCCAGAAAGCACACAGGCATTACATAACTGGTCAAACTTCCATAGTGGGGCATCCAGCGGCATAGTTTAAAGAACCCCTTCTAATAAATCTGCCACATATTTTGTTTGTGGGTTTTTGGCCTATTTGGTTTTTTACGGAAATTATAGAAAAGATTTCGTATTGTTAAGGCGTCGTAGGAGAGTGTTGAGCATCAGTGTTATTGTAAGTATAATTAGTGGCCTTTCTGGCGTGAGTGACAGTAGTTTTTATATGTCTAGTTTGTTGCCTGTATAGAAATTATGAGTTTAGACACCAACATCATATCTGTAGCTTATTTAGTTCCAATTATATGCACATTTTAGATAAATTTGGCGGCCATTTTTCAAAATGGCCGCCATTTGTATACAAGGTGAAAAATCAAGTGTCAACAGGGCTTAGGGTGACCTGGACGGATTAATTAGGATATCTGGCTATGTTGACTGCTTCTAACATTCCACTCCCCCTAACTTGATTTTTAGGCCTCTTTTTCTTTTTTTCTTTTTTTTTCCTAGTCTATATAGGCTACAAGGTACGTACTTTCCAAGATGCAGAGGCATAAGGTTTATATTCTATACCGTTTTATCGTCTTTATTTTCTCGTGCAGGCAACACAACTGTCGGTCTGTGAGTGGCCTAAATACATACCGTGATATGCGCCCCACCAGGCGATTGCCACCCCCCCCCCACCTTTTTTTTTTTAAAGGGAATTCAGTCTGGGGGAACTGAGCGCATAATTCACTGAGAACGTTACGTAAAGAGGGGGTGGGGCCGAATTTACTAAGGGGAACAAAATCCCTTTGATCATCGGGTACAACTACCGCACAGTCAAAAGCACCATGTGTAGACATACCTGTCATAAGCACAGTCTGTGTTACTAGTTGTTGTGTCGACTCCATCGCCAATTAGCCACTCAAACCTATCATCTGTGCGTAGACGAATTCTTGACCAGCTCCCTTCGGGGACAAACTTGCAGTCGGCATTCATATCACCAGCAAACAGAACCTCCTACAGAAAAAATGTACATGAAAATGGGCTCTAACAGTTCAAATTTATAAATTTTGTAATAATAAAACCGTGAAGATAATTACACCAGTGAGGAGCTATAATTCTATACTTTTGATAATGCTTTATGAAAAAGTCATAATTATAGCGCCACAACAAATACAATAACCATAAAGTTACAGTGCAGCTGAATTTTTTTTCTTTCTAAAATCTATAATTACCTAAATAAAAAAATGCATAAGCACAAACTACAGTAAACGACAAAACTATGTGTCCATACTACAACACCCAGCATGAAATACTACTCAAGGAGCTGCTTAGGTCCGACCCTGTTTAATATGCTGTTAATGATGTCAATCTTAATGTTTTACCTAATTGTATACTTTTTGCAGGTGATATGGTACTCTACATGCATAGACGCAGGCCCGAAGCGTAAGGAGGGGGGGGGGGTTAAGGGGGTTACGACGAACCCCCAAAAAACTGGAGACGATACACAATTTGTATGTTTGGGCTAACGATAATAAAATAAAATGAATTTTAACGTTAACAAAACCAAATTATTGTACGTAAGCGTAGTTTTGTTAATTAAGAAAGCCTACCTACTTTATGTTGAAATAATTGAAGTGGTAGATGTTTACAAATATTTAGGAATACACATCGATTCCATGTTGAGTTGGAAATTTCAAATTGACAATGTAATTGCTAAAGCTAACAGAATGGTAGGTTTCATTTTTTCTGTTACTGGTTGCTCTCCAGACGCTGTTTCATGCCTTTACAAAGCATTAGTCCTACCAACTCTTGAATATGGTTTATCGGCATGTGGTTCAGGAACTGCGGGTAACATAGACTGTGTTGAAAAAGTTTAAGGAAGGGTATCTAGGAATATGGGCCAATATCATATGATGGACATTTAATTACACTTGGTTTTTTATCTGATAGACCTTTATTGATTTTAATTTCGTGTATTTTTCGATGTTTATATAAGGTATCTACCTGCAACAGTGTACCATTAACATTCACGTCAACTCGCTTCATACATAATCACTCACGTTTATCTATCCCTTTGCTCGTGCTTAGGCGTTAAAATATACATCAATACATAATTATCCTGTTGTTTGGTCATCACTTCCCCCTATAATTAAAGATTATGCTGTTGTTCACCCGCTTCAATTAATTCAATTTAAGTTCAGAAAACACCTCCTTGTGATAAAAGATACGTTTTGTGTAAATTTTAATTCACTGATTTTGTGCAATATCATTTTAATAATTTTTCAAACTTACATAAACCTATACACATTTCAATTGTATATACTTTTTCTTGAAACTCACATATTTTTAATCATTTAATTTACTGGTAACTTGAAATATGTTGGTCTTTTTGCTATATGTTTTATTGAAGTTGTAAATATCCGAATTTTAACTATTAACCTGTATGTACAGGGGTTGCGAACACATGTTGTGTAATTGCGTTGATGCAGACGCAGCCCCTGGGCAGTTTGATGTCAAATAAATAATGAAAATAAAATGAAATTAAAAAATGAAAAAAATATGTTTCCCAGACTATCAGTGGTCATAAACTCATTTCGATGAAGATGATGTTTTATTAAAAATGAAATTTCACTTAACTCATAGGCCTGTACATATTTAAGATTTTTGAAATGTTGACTACACGTTTACTTGATACTGATAATGATTGGGTTTACGCTTTAAGCGTTCTTCTCTCATTATGACGTGGAGAAACAACTCGGCGCTTAAAATTAATGCTTAATCATGATGTAACTGTGAATACCGTTTGAAAAATTGTTAATATACCTACGGCCCCTATAATTGCCTTTTATGCCTCAATGAACATAAATGTAAACTAAATATAAAGTAGGCAATGGACCTATTAATAGGTCCACGATTAGTCCTACTTACGTCAATCCCCCACCGGTTTACGATATCGTCATAAACGTCCACAAGACGATCAATTTCAGAGACAGCCGCAGATGGATCAGTGTGTATTCCAACAATAACAAAATCTTTTACAACTGGAAAAAAAAAAAAGCGAAAGCGATTATAATTACAATTAATAAAACGCGGTGAAATCTAGGAGAAAAAAAATATAACATTGAATTGAAACATTTTATTTATCCACCAACAAAGGATTCAATAACGTATTGTTTTAGTTTTGGTTAGGGTATTAGTAATATTATATATAGAGAGGCCTGTATATTATCATTGTACAGTAGAGAATAGAACCTATATACTGTATCATAGAACAATAAATAAAATACTATAATTATATAAATTTGAAACGTTAAAGAAGAGGAATATGCGAGTGTGAAAGAGTCCTCAACATGAATTTGAACACGGGGTTCCCCTGCTGTCTATTCAGACGCCTGAACGAACTGGGCCACTGGGGTTTCGTTGGGAATCCACATCCGATTGGAAGCAACTGATTTCAACAATCTTTTTTATATTGGTGGTGGAACAGTGCTAGTTCTATTGGAAAATTCGAGTCAAATTTATATACCACTTGATTGTTCACACTCTTGTTTTTTGCGTGGTGGAAAAGTGCTGGTTTACTTCATATATATTTTTGATAATTTTGATAATAATATAAATTTGCGGAAGCGTTATTATTTTCTAATATTCTTACGTGTCTCATCGCAGTGGAAGCGGACGATGAACGGTTCTCTTTCAAATAAGTCAACACCTGACGACTCATCTCCATCGTCATATTCGTAGCTGTCTATTACTTCAACCTCATCTGGCCTTATAATAGAATAGAAAATATAAGAAAGATAGGAGAGCGTCATTATTATTGTAATAGCCACATCGGCATAATCATTATCTAATCATCATCATTCCAAAGATCATCCTCAAAATAATTTTAACTATGGCATTGTAGGCCCGTACGCAGGATTTGTATTGGTTGGGTACGAATTTGTGGAGAGTGGACCAAAATGTTTGGGGGCTGCAGATTCTTGCTGGGGTCGAGTGGCGGAGCCCCCTCAATCGAACATACATACCCTAGATATGTAAAGTGCCACCTTCAACCACGTGGTGTTTTCGGATTTTTCGCTGTATGTGTCAACATACTATTAAAACTTAGATGACTACATACTATCACAGCACAATGTTAATAAAACATTGTTAGATTTAAACGTAAAAGGAATAATGTAGGCCTATAGTTGACAATGAAAAAACAATCCCATAATAGTATTAGCCCTTGAAAATACTAAATTTTCCTTAAAGGTAAATGTTATATATGATAAATAAATGGAATTGATGCAAATTGCGAATACGAACGAATAATTACAAGCGCTTTACGTCGTGGATGAGATGGGTAGACGTCAAAAATAGGCCTATATCAAATGGAGAAGGCATTAAATAAGCCTATACTAATTGGGAACAGGGTAAGGAAAACAAATCCTTTTGTTGTTGTTTGAGGCGAATCGCGAGCGCTGCAGGTAGGATAGGATGTGTACTATTCGTGATGAAGCGCTTACGCATTCGCAACTTGTAATCAATGGCGGATCCAGGAATTCATAATAGAGGAGGAGGGAAGGACTTTACAGCTGGGAGTAAATAACACATCAGGTCCACCATGGCTTGAGCTGAGGTTAGAAAATTTATGATTTTAACATCTCTAGGTGGCCGGAAATAGCACTCTCAGACTTAAACGAGAATAAAGATAATTTTAGTGAAACGTGTGAGAAGATGAGTTTGTACGCGGTGAGTCATTTGACACGCGGGAGAAAAAAACACTCAAATTCTTCAAAAAGCTTATATATGCAGTTAAAAGTTGTTTGTACGATGAATTAGAGACAGTCCTAGTTTTAAACTGCTCTGATTGGTCAAGGAGTTTCGGTGGATGGATTTCGGGAACGTGATAGATTGTGTCTTGAATTTTCTACACGTGAAAATGTGGACCTTTAGTAATTTGGGGGGGGGGGGGATGCGCACGAACCCATCGCACCCTCCAACCCCACCCTGCTTACGGGCCTGATCATTGAGGGTGGTGACGACGACGACGATGACGAGGATGATGATGATGATGATGATGATGGCGTTGGTGATAGTGATCGTGATCATCATAATCATATCATTATTATTATCAGGTAAATGATGATGACGATGATGATGATCATCATCATGAGTATGATACGAAATATAATAAAAATATAAATTCACAAATTACCTGTAAATGAATGCATACTGTTCCTTAGCTTTGGTGTGACCGACACGTGAACTTATTATGTAATCATACGGGTCATCAGCAACTCTTAAAATATAATGAAATACACGATAATTGCATGGACCATAGCAATGATACCTACGCTTGTTAAGCCTAATTAAACGAGAATGTTTGGAAACCCAAAAATATTGATCTTTCACTCGTTGGACCATGCGGGATATTTTTGTAATCTGAAATTGTATAGGCTTATATTTTATAGCGTTTGAGAAAATTAATGTTTTATTCAATTATATCTTATTGATGTTAATGTTGCTTTCGAAAATTGGAAATGCAACATTCAGCTTGTTCCTAGCTAACAAGATTACATTATAATAACGTCACAGTTTGGTATTAAAAACGTTAATTTGTAGAACTGTAAGTACGTATTTATAACCTAATTTCACAACGTTATAACGTTCGAACGTTCCTGCAACGTTGTGTGAACGTTATTTTGTAACATACCTAACCATAATGTTCGTTAAGACCGTTTTGTGTTTGCTGGGTTTTGATGTGTGTTCGTGTCAGAAAAATACCATAGGATTGAATTTTTTTTCCCTTGATACTTGCTGAAATACAAGTGATTCGGGTGGGAATCGAACCCACGACCTAACTAGCCTGGTGCCAAAGCAATTAGACCACCGAGTATTCAGTACGATAACACGTCAGATAGGCCAAACATCACTCCTATAGTTTGATACTTTTATTTACTTGACCGCTACGATTAATTGAAATCAAAAATGAGTTTATACAACGTACGTATGTAACGTAATCATACAAATACCAAGTAGGTCTATCAGATATTATAAGGGACTTTTTAATGTAGGCATCATACTGGTCACATGTTTGATTCCTTACTCATTAACCTCTTCCACGAGCTGCTCAATCGCCTCTCCTGAAGTGTCTCGAATTTCTTGCACCAAAATTATGTCATAACGATTGATTATCTACGGAGATGTAAATAAGATGTCGGTAATTATTATTATTATATATCATTATCATCGTCATCATCGTCACTCTCATCATCATAATCATTATCATCATTATCCCCATCAACATACCAACAAAGGTGCTCATTAGACTTTTTTTCAAAAGCATTCTTAGTGCTGCATCGTAAATAATTTAAAATAGGCCTATATTTAAACTGATCACCTGACGATAATTTGTATAATATAGTTGAACAAATTTTTAAATCTCCACCAGCAATTGTGCGTACATTTTTAGTGCTTTTGGTGCTTCGTGTCATGACAATTCACACAAAATATTTGAGTACATAGTAGCACAGAAAGGACAGCTTGAGGATCAATATGAGTGTTCACAATACATATCATGTCTCAACGATTCAGTTTCTGCACAAGCCTACATGCCCTTCAGTTGAAACATTTTGATACAATACAAAAATCTTTTAACATAATTTTATAGAAAGCATGTATAGGGGTTAACATACGGCTTATAGATTATTGGCTCTGTTGCTAAATGTGTTAGTGACATTAAGAGTACATCATAGGGGTCATGACAAACTGGTTCTCATCCACTATACAATGATTTCACTATAACCATTTCAGGCCAGGGTTTGAAAACAACAACATGATAAAATAATGCATGACATGACTTTAATTTGTTCAGAATTCCTTTCACTTATTTAATTCAAAAATTGCAGTTTTCAAGTGATTTTTCCATTGGTGTTACTTAGTTTGTGATTTTCAATTGGTGTTGCAAATAATTATATAAACTGAGTTCATGAGGGACACACACTTGAATCTTGATTGATTCAGTTAACTTGTGTTACTGCCAATAAGCTAAGTAGCCTACTTAATAGCGTTGCTGTGTTTTTGTTTCACAATAAAATAAGAATAAATACGAGTAGTCGGGTTTAAACATTTGAAGGTCTTGTTTATGTAGGTAATATATTACATTTTTTTTGTATCAGGCTTCTGTTTTTAAAGTCTAACAATATTTGATGTTTTACCAATGGAAATGCAGCTTGGTTAAGATGTGTTTTTCTCTCTCTCTTTTGTGGGAATCGCCCGCCTTTTTATCTGATAGCATCATACATCAGTTAAGAATATCTGCTATTTATTTTTTAAAATTTAATATATACAACAATAATTAAAACACAAAATATGTCATACTAATAATAAAATATTATTATACATAGCATATAGCACATCATAATGCTTATACTTTATTAACCTTGTAAATTTCAATTCATTTACTGAGCAATGCAAATTGTTCAAAATATTTTTTTTTTATCTTGTAACTTTTACAATATTTTTACACATCATTTTATATTCATAAAGAAATAAACAATACGGTAACCCAGAAAAAAATAAGAGTTTGACAGTTTGTGTAATGAACCTATATAACAGGTTTAGCTAGGGCCCAGTGATCAAATCCTGTGAACGCATAGAATTTTGTCTCACGACTAAACACATCTCTAATCCCCAAGTACTCTCTATCAATGAGACTTGGTTTATAAAGCATCTTATTACTTAAGAGGGTACCCTGGATGTCTGCTGACCTTCTGGGATGGGCTAGGAGGGTCACCTTCTACAAATATAGTATAAAAAATAATTATTTAATGAGGAATAAAAATGAATTATATCAGTATCTACAACACCTTGACTAGTACATCCACTTCGGCTTGCTTTGACATCGTTCCTCTTCCGAATGTTTGAAGGTTAAAGGCAGCGATGTCAAGACCGTCTAGGCCGGACCCTGTGCGTATTATTCCTGCCATGCACAGCGTACCAAGGAGGAAATGGAGTGACGCCATTCTTTCTGATTCTACGATTAAAAATATACAGTGATGAAATTTATTGAGCGAAGAGAAATAATAAAATGTATAAACCGGTAACTATGCCTACATATTATATAAACAAATAGATAAATAGTAAGCCTTTCCCACAACAGAACCATCATCACGAATTCACAAAAATAAATATTTTCAATTATGATTAATATTCCAGATTCTACTGAACTCATCAATTACTGTCGGAAATTAATTGACAACCTTAATTCTAAAACACAAACAAATTCAAGTTGTCTGCACGGCTCAAAATATGACATTATATACGGCTCTGCACCTGCTTACTCTGGCTAGCCTGACTTGTCTTGCTGCTTTGACATCAAAACGCATTCCATAGAAAGCTCGAACTCAATACCACCTATGCCCTACGTACCTTAAAACAATACTCTCATACTAGGATTAAACTGTGGGTAAGTCATGTTCGTAACATCTGCTTCAGGACTTTAAAGCGAGAAATGGAACTATGTTGACTTCAAAAACATTCAGAATTTTTTCATGTAATAAGGTTAGGCCTATCGTAAATGGCCAAATAAGTGCCGCGGCGCTCAAACATTCATAATGTTTTCATTTAATAACATGACTGCCTTCTCTTAACATTAAGCCCCTAACAGAAAATGACAAAATAAAACATTTTCTGAGGTCCAGCGGCGCTTATTCAAGAGAGGCCATTATAGATCGGTGTTAACACAAAATTTAATTGGAATGTTAAAAAGATACCATGTTATATGCCTATCTTACTTTTTGCAGTATTTGTCAAATGTTATCATGGAAACTCATCCCGTTGAGGCCGACTTCACTAAAGATATTACGCCTTCATGGAAATCAGAATTCAAATTACGTACAGATAGAAGGCCGATGGGTGAGGGAGGAAGATTTTGGGTAAATCCTGAACCCAACTAGTATGAATACGACTGATCTCCCATGTTCAACTCTTTTTTTTATTATTATTTAAGAGTAATGATATAATAATTAAACAGTGTCAATGTAATTCATTTTCATTATTAATTGGTGAGGTGAAAAAAAGCAGTTCCTCTTCACTGGATATGAACGCCTCCTACAAAACACACACTTACAAATTAATCGATTAGGCCCCTATTAACTATCACATAATAATATGTTATTGCTACATGTTTACATAAATTCAATACATATCCCGGCCTATGCCTATAATGTCGATAATGAAAATACTTTATTCGCTCAAAATAAAAATAACGAATAGCCACTAAAATCTATAATTATAAATAGCATGAAATAATTGGAATATATCTTACCTAACCTCTTGGATAGAGTGAATCTCCTGTTTGGTGTTCGGTTAGTACTACTCTCGGTAGCAAATGTGTTTACTCGTCTATGTATATAATATCGTGCACGGTATGCACTAGGCCTGCCAATCATAAACGAAATGTAATATCAACCAATGGGAATCTAGATATCGCATTCCATCAATGCTACGCCGACTTATAAGTTGATTGTCGAAAGCTGGTAGGCGAGGCCAGTGCAGTGGCGTTAAAGTGGAGTTAAATTTGTGGGGCCCCAGTTGCAACAAATCTACAAAATGATACGGCGGGGGTGGGAGGGGGAAGATTTGGACGAGCATCCCTTCGCGACGTTGCTGGGGACCTAGGGCCCATGGGCCCCCGTTGGGGTCCAGGACTTTGCCATGGAATCGACATTTTACATCATATGTGTAAAGTTTAACATCATATGTGTAAAGTTTAATATGAACTATTACTATACTTTATAAATATTAGGTTCAAAATATTCTAGGTAAATACACATAGGTGGATAGTCTCTTGGGGTGGGCCCAGCGCCGACCCGCCAAATTCATTAAAACATACTGTAGCCATTGAACTAGCAAAACTAGAGCTCAAATTGCTGTGTAGTTCTATCATACGCAAGTTGGAGTGTCGCATTTAAAACTTAGTCAATTGTCTCAGGTTAAAAAAGAAAAACTAGCCAGGTCAAACACTTTGTCATCGAGCACACGTTATTAGGCCAATTATGTACGTTTCGCGTCTAATTGTTTAATAACAGCAACTTTTTTGACTAAGCAAAAAATAAGACGCCGCGAAATACACGTCACGCACCGTTTTTCGGAAAGGACGTTAAACCCATTGATCTCGTGTATTATACAGCATGTTAAATAACGTAGTATCGTTTTGGAAATGAGTCCTCCGAACTTTCCAATTCAACACTGGGACGGCAATCGCTGGTTCCGTGCCCCATTTCGAAATTCTTTACTTTATTAAACTTTAATTTTGATAAGAACGTCTGGGCATTCACAGTTTTATAAATTGTTCCCTGAAATTTAGAAATACTGTAACGCCAAGCAATATCAAGAGATCTGTAAGCCGTTGGTTATGTGTACATCATGACCCATGTGCACTCATCGAAAAACAGTTCCTTTAGTCTTCAAATTATACAATTTTTAGGACATAATTTTCTATTTTCACAAGAAAGTTTATTAACATAGATCATTATTTTCACAAGAAAGTTTATTAACATAGATCAAATGCCAAATTTGCTTTGACAGCGAGAGGTCACAGTTATAGGCTATATCCTGATTACCTATGTGATCATCTTAATAATTATAAATGGATCCACAATTACTATTATATATATCTGTCTCTTATACACATCTAGATGTGTATAAGAGACAGCAACAATGCTGTGTGAAACAATGGCTGGATCTCGGTGGAGATACAAAAATGATAAGCAACAGCTAAAAAGTAAACGTAAGTAAACAGCCAGAAATAGAACCAGAGCTTTCGGACAACACTAGTCCTTCCTCAGTGGCGAGTGAGTGAGGGTAGAAAAAGCTAGATGTGAGTATATATATATATTTCTAGAAGGTTTAGATGATTTATATATATATATACAGTATATTATATATATTTTCTGGAAGTTTCAGAGTATGTTATTGCAAGTAAGCACAACCTCTAACCTCTGTCTGCAAAATATACATAAGTATCCACAATTTAAATAAATTAATCACTTGAAACTGATGCCACACCTGGAATCTCAATGAACATTTTGAAGCATAAGAGTTTATTGAATTCATCATTCCAACAAATTTTATTTTTATTATGATGACGTCATATGCGATAATCATGTTCCTCACTATATAAATAATAACTACATCTTACAAATGCTTAACAATGTAAAATATTATTGGACGGAATCCTGTTGGTATAATGATGTAATAACTAATAAATTCATTTAGTAATTAATTAAAGTGTGTTAAAAACATTGCTGTCAAAAGGCCCTACATTTTATGGGTTTTATATTTCGTGTACTAACTTTTTGCTTTTGTTGACTGATACCAGATTTTTTTTAGTTTTATTTTGTATTCAAAAGTTGCTTTTGAATAACAACACTTTCATTAGAACATGCAATATAACATACAATACAAAATTTTATGTACAAATTATATGGAATCTGAAGAAAATAGCATGGACAATTCTTGGTAAACTTCTGGAAGAATAGTATAAACCATGTAATTAACAAACTGCTGTATAGTATAGATTTTATGACCAGATTCTGACGGTTGAGTCGCTGCCACCAGACACAAGGAAGTCACCAGTTCGATCAAAGATTACTGACTGGACGGCATCTTCATGGCCAGTAAGATTTGATACCTGTAAATTTAACAAAATAAAAAAAAAATGTTTTTTGCAATTTATCTATTTTGTTTAAATGTTTGCTGAGTGCAGATGGGATTAACATTTACGGAAGAATAAACATGGCCTTAAAATACATTATACGACACACCATATGAGGATGACAGTCTAATGTCTGGAAATAATAAAATTTGCTTTGTTTTTACCTGACCGGATGCAATTTCAAACATCTTGACCGTGCTGTCACTGCTAGCAATGGCTAACACAGAGCTTGACGGGTCAAACGCAACTTTGTTTGCTGGGTGCGGCCCCACATCAATGCTGGTCATCGGAGCACAGGTTCGCACGTCCCAAAGCTTAATCACACCATATGAATCACATGATGCAAGGGTGTCACCTCGAAGGTTAAAGGTCACATGATTCACTGAATGAACATGCCCATAGAAAGTTTGGCCGCATAGTCCCTATACGAAGATGAAAGAAGAAAAAAGTGAGTTTACTCACATTATGAAATCTTCCATATGATGAAATTAGTGATGGTGTTTGAGACAACATGGATCACATTTTTAGTACATTATTTTTATACATTGTATCTTTAAATATCCGCAACAGCTATCTAGCTAAACTCATAAAATTTTAATTTGTCATCGGGTCATGCTATGAATTACTCTGTATGATCAATTGCCCAATGATGCAAATACTGTTCACAGACAGTCGGTGGCAGTTTGAACAGATCATCATTGAATACTGTTCATCACAACGTCCTGGTCTCATCATGTCAGATTGTGACGGAACTACAGTTTGTGGCAGGTGTTACACCTTCATGGATACACAGTAATCTACTCTAGTGTAAATCACTGGTAGTAGTAAGGGCATGCCTAGAAGTGGAAGGCAGTTGAAACCACTGAGGTGGCTAGTTGTTTGGATACCCCCTCCGTATAACTTAATACATTGTTTTCCACAGAATTACAAATAATACATACCGTCCTTGCATCCCATAATGAGAGTGTCTTATCAGCTGATGATGTCACAAGTGTGTTAGAGTATGGTAGAAACTCAATGCTGTTCACCGAGTCTGCATGTCCACGTAATGTATTTCGACATCTCAAGCTGAGAATGAATGACAAACAATTTGTTGTTATTACTCTTAGAGCAGTAGTGTGGGTAATGCCGCTTATACCCCCACCACCATGTGCCAAGGGGCTCATCCAGAGTCCAATCTGTATACATCTCTGTTTACTTTGGGCCAGGTCCTGTGGAGTGCCACGCTGCAATGCCCCAGTGTTTCTGGCCCTACAACCAACTCTTATTTTAAAAGTTATATTCTATTTTAAATGGTTTGTTATACATGTAAATGTTTCTTGACGTGTAATGTTTGCAACATCCAACTTCAAAGACAGCCCATTTTTTGCCATTGCATCATAAACAAATACGCAGCTACAATTCAATAACATATGTTTTGCTGTTGTTTTTGTTGATGTTACAATATGATTTAAATCATATCGGTATTATTTTAATAAGAAATCTAAGTTGGGATGGGCTGGGCACCAGAGAGCTTTATAATTGGCAGACACAGCACCACAATTTGTAGTAATATGGGCAGTACATCGGACTATCATTCAACACACACTGCCATGTTGTACTCAGGATTACAGTAATTGCTTAAATGTAACTAAACCTTTATTTCACAGGGACAGCAGGTTCATGGAATGGCACAAAATGTGTTAAAAAAAAGATATTAAATAAAACTAAAATCAAACCTGTTTAAATCCCAAATTTTTGAGGTGCTATCCATTGAACAGCTGGCAATAAAATCTCCACACTTGTGCCACGATACGCCCCAAACTAGAGCCAACAAAAAACAAATGGGAAAATGTTAAAATGCTTCCACGGAAACATAACATTTTGAAAATAATATTCTGTGTTAAAAGTTGGAAATATTTAAACAGTTGATTATATATTGAATTGTTCATTCAAAAGGATGATATACCATTCAAATACAGAATATAATTATAAAAAATATTATAAATATAATATTTTGACACTTTGTCAAAGGTTCATGGGAACACCTCTCATATTACGTTATTGTCAAACATAACTAGTGTAGCAGCGTTTTTGCCTACATTATTAATGTATAAGTTACAAAATAGATTCAGATTTTAAATGTCACTGTGCTGGGCAACAGCATAGTGCTAAACTCCAATACTGCCTAACCTGAATGCTGGTGTTGAGTGAATGTATGGATACACTCTGCCTTGGAGAAATCCCAGATCTTGACCGTCACATCGCCACTTGCTGTGGCAAGTTGGTGACCACTAAAAATAATAATAATAATAATAATAATTTTGATGATTGTATCACTCAAACTTGAAATAAATATTAATCATTGAAAAATGTTTTCTTTAACACTCTGACCACCAGTTGTTTGAAAAAATAGTATCAGTCACCGCCAGACTTTTTTGTAAATTTTAACACTTTTTCGAAGCTCGTTGAGAGCTTCGGATCAGATTGTGATCAGATTGACATAGTGAATACTACAAGAACTACAAACATTTTAGCTTTACAATGGTACCAAACACTTTATTTTAATCACAATCTGTGACCCGTAACAGTAAAATGAAAATGACTCACTTTTGGAAATTTACACAATTTCAAACAACGAAGCTGAGATAATTGTGATTTCGTGAAAGTAAAGTAATACTGCTCTACGCTAATGTAAACAAACAAATAGTGAAATACTTATGGTCCAGACTGAATATACTGTTCAAATTGTTATTGATTACCCCATCTATAAGATCCCATAAAAAAACCTGAAACACGGAGATCTCCATGTTTGGCGGTCAAGCGTTGCGTTACCAAACACGGAGATCTCCATGTTTGGCAGTCAGAGTGTTAATGTAAAGTACCAATTTGTTAATCATATTTTTAAGTTAAAACAAGCTCGTTAATTTGAGTATTCCTCAAATTAAGGTTTGTAAGACATAGGTTAACAACTGTACATATTTCTACATTTAAGTTGCATATGACCCACTAAAAGCAACAAATTGTTTACATTTTCCAATTGATGTCAATTGCCATGCAGTACCTAAACATCAATTACAAATATTTCTAGTTGTTTATTGTTCAAAACTGCAATAAATATTGAAATCAAATTAACAGATATAGAAAATGGAAACTAATCACTCACTTGGGATGGAAATCACAGTCTGCTATCCAGTCTTTATGACCCTCACCGGTCATCACAATGTCACCACTCGGTATTGCCCACATCTTCCATGTGTGGTCATCACTCACCGTGGCCAAAATTTGCTTTCGAGTATGCAGTGCAAGCCTGGAGTAAATACAATGTTCGTGTAAAATTTCACTTGAATACTGTACATTAATATTTCTCACGAGAAAGATGATGGATAAAATATAACACTGCCAAAGATTCTTGCAATGCAATAGTATACAAATATTTACTGGGTTGAGGGGCATGGTTCAAATTATAGCCCGAGGTAATCTGGAGGCTGTACTATATGTCCCTCAACTTAGTCTCAGGACATAGTACAGCCTCCAGATCACCAAGGGGTATAATTTGAACTATGACCTGATTAAAATCCCAGTAAATATTTGTTTTATATACCACTACATAGATTCCCTGTTCTTGAGTCGTGAAGAAACCTAGGGTTTGGCCTATGCCTAGTAGTAGAATTTCACTAGCAATTCATCGAGGCCTGCATTTGATAACTCCATTAATCACAGTTTGTGGCTTCAAGATACTCTTCAAATATTCGGCATAATTAACTTGTTTTTCGTATTATCACTGGCTGCTGAACTCACTTACTACACTTCTCATTTTCATCAACCAGTTTAAATCTGGAACACTCTCCCATTGTTATTCCTAGCCTACCAGTACAGTGTGTAGCAGAGCGATCTTCAGCCGCTTCAAGGTTAAATTAGTAGAAGTGCGCCCTCAACAATAGGCTTAGCATAAGTTTCTACATCGCGAATTGCGAGAGGGCGAAGGAAAAAGACTATTCCCTAAAACTATTGCCCGGGTTTTGACAAATGAAATGCCTGGAATCTATGTAGTCGGTATATAATAAACACTAAATGATTCAATAATTTATAGAAAAAAAGAGAAATACTCATTTTACACAAAATCGACTAAGCTATCATTTTTATAGAACATATATGGGTGAGGAGTATACAATATAAAAAAACTTGACTGCTTAATTACAATCCACATTTAATCTACTATTATGCAAATTAGCTTACCCACTAACAGCCAATGAGTGTGCCTGCTGGATAGTATGTGTTAGCCTGAATCCACCTGATCTAGTCAGATGAGCTGATGGCCCTTTGACAGAAGCCAGTGCAGGATTTGTCCGAGTATCGCACGGAAACTCTGAATCCTATAAAATCAGAGTTAATGTATAAAAACAATAATAATTATAATAAATATAAAATAATATTAAGAATTAGAAATTGTATATTTTTTTAATGAAAAATTTAAAACTGCTATAATCACTGTTTTGATCCCTAGAAATTTCTTGGGCAAAGTTTATATAAATTTTATGAATGTTTTATTTAAAAGGTATTGAAATACTGGAACTGGTGATACTGAAAGTCAATATTTTATGTTATGCAAGACTTTTTTATACCTTGTTTAGCGACCCATCCGCCCGTCAATATTGATGATTTTGAATAAAAATAAAATTTTATATTTGGTCATTTAACCGCTGCCACAAAAAAATGTAAATTTCAGAAAAAAATAAAAAATTTTCTTTATTTTTATTACGCCAGCCACTGCCTTTAAGCCTTCAAAAATAAGAGATAAAAAATAATTATATATATTTAAAGCATTTATCCATCCCACTACACTGTTTACATTCACAAATAAAATGTTATTTTTATTTTCTCCTTCCTCTCAATGTTTTTGGCAAAACTATTTGCTAAATGCGAAAACAAAATGTTTTATTTTTCACCCCTCCTCTGATCATGCTGACGATCTTTAAAATAAAAAATTAGTTTTCCACATGCTACAAACCTGTATATAATATACAGTATACAATATATCAGATAATAAATAAATTTACATACATTTAGATGGCGAGGTAGCTTCTGATTAACAACATCCTTGTTCTTTGAATCAGATGTTGCAGATTTCTTGTGGATTTCATTTGCAGCCTTCACTGCAGACTGTGTAGGACCAATGCCGGAGGCATACATCAAACGGCGCTGTTCTTTAGTCAACTCATGCGATAACAGATCAGTTTCCCCATTTTGGAAATTACGCAGGGTTGACTGGAGACCCACAACCTATAAAATAAATAACAACAGCAAGTATTATTAAATAAGTCTGTCTAAACGACATTTTTAGAAAGACTTTCAAAATGGTATCTTTTAATAATAATAACATTCTTTTAAAATGTGACAAGAATGATGGCTGCAAAGGCCATATCATATTACATTTCTCCAGTTTTAAAAGAGCTCCACTAGTTAACAATTGTCTAAATAAATTATTTAAAATTACAAATATGGATATTTTAACAAAAATAATAATTTATTTAAAATTACTATTAAATATGAATTTTTTTTTCAATTTACATTGCTATGTAAACTGATTGAATAATAAATTATTGTGATAATAGGTATGATTTAAAGACAGACTGACATTTGTCTTCAAAATACATACTTCCCCAACAGCACGGTCTCGTTCCAGTTTAGTAAGCATCTTCTCCTTCATTGCTGCCTCATACTTTTCCTTTAACTGACGTAAGGTTGGCTCGTAAGAACTGTAATGTTTCTTCAATTTCTTGATATCTGAAATTAATTTATTTTTCTCCTGCACAATGCGTTTATGGTGCATACGATGAAAGTCTCGTTCCTTGGTAAGTTTGACAAATGATTCTTTGGCCCTGTTGGCAGCATTCTTAAACTTATCGACATCCCTGCGAAGAAGCTTCACTCGGTCGTCAAGATGTTGGTTCTGAGTGTAAACATCTGGAACCGTTTGTATATCCTCTGGTTTCAAGAGCCCACGTTGTTGTAGCTCATACCTAAAGAAAAGTTTATAATTTAATCTAGGAAAACTTTATGATTAATAATAATAAAACATATATTACAAAGAACTTTTAAATACTCCTATAAGGTACACCTTTCTCATTAATAAAGTCCTTCAAACACACTTTTTGAAATGTTGTATAAAAATGATTGTTTCATGTCCCATGCCCTCTATAATTTTGAGACATTTATGGTAATAATGAGATCAATTGTAAAGAACTGTTCTGTGAAGCCCAGCCCTGAAAGACATTGTAATAACACATGTGTTAGTGGGACAAGCATGTATTTCTGGCCCTGTTACGATTATCCAGTTGGTAAGTTTGATTGACACACTGGAAAGGTCTAATCAAGTAATTCCAGCACAACTGATGTGAAAATAAATATATAAGAAATTAAGGATTAAACATGGTTTTCAGAAAATATAAAAAGATCATTGTACCACTCTGTTTGGAAACAGTCTAACGTCCGATTCATCCCCATCTTCACCAGAAAATTCCTGATAAAGTCATCTACAACTTCAGGTCGCCGGGTAACAGGAGGTGCAATGATGATATTTGCTTTCCCCTGATAAAATAATCCAGAAAGGAGTCAAGAGCTAAAAAGTTCACTTCCTAACATTAATGTACAAATTTCTGAATTATCATTATTCTGTTAAGAGCATAGTATAATATACTTATATATAGGCAACTATATTTCTTTCTTTTTTATATTTTCAATTAAAAGGTACAATAGTATGAGTAAAAAACAAAGTAATAATTAAAATTTCTTATGAATCTAAGAACCAGTCCATTTTCTTGCCACCCATGGAATTTATGAATAATCTAGGAATGTAGCTTTCCAATGCCGTGTTATTTTACTGTACTATATACTAGGCCTACGCTATGTGTACGAATAAGGAAAAAAATTGCCTGCACTGCACACATTGAGCAGGGTAAACACAGGTATGAACATATTTGTTTCAGAATCATAATGAAAAGAATATTTGACCCTATCACACGAGCTGCAAGAAAGTCAAACAATCCATGCACTAATGAATAATTAATGCATGGTTGAAATAGGAAAATTCATTAAAGGCAAAATAATGATGTCATAATTGGTTTATAATGTAGATTAGTACATACAGCAGCCAAATCATCCTCCTCAGCCTCTTGAATTGTTCTAACAGCTGCATGCAGGTCTTCGTCAGGCTCTAAATGAATGCCAAAAAAACATGCATTTAAAATAAAGCACTTGGTTTAATACCTTAAATATAAAACACAAAATGTAGGCCTATCTCAAAAATAATGTTTATATAATAAACAAAAAATAATTTTTTGTATGACGATACTAAGGATGGTGGACTGAAAATGCAATACATTTTAAATGATTTATGACACCATTATAGTACTGCTTACCTGATGCATAGTCATCATCTATTGCAACATCTTCATATTTAAATTCATCGTCTGAATCTTCCACAATGTTAACTCCTACAACACAGTTAAGGTCAAGGTGTATGTTAATTTGCACAAAGGCTGCGTTGGAGCATGTTACTCCTGGTACACTGGAGCAACAAAAATCAGGGCAGAGTAAACAATTGGCAAACAAAAGGTGTGTTTTTATTAAAAATTTGACAGGCCTTGATGCTACTAGTACTGTAATTGTTTCATCTTATTCTCATTTTTATTCATCATTATCAATACGTTATATTTACATTTCAGAAGGAAAAAAAAAGTTATTTTTTAATGAAAAATGAAAGGAGGCCTGCATAGGTCCAAAGACACTTAGGCTCAGTCCACCTAGGGAAAACATAAATACAAATAATAAATTCAATGAAACAAAAAAAAAAGGTAGCTAGCAAAATAAAATAAAATAAGGCAGATAAATTCCATGTACTGAGCCATATGAAAAATGTAATTGAAGAAATGGGAAATAGTGTTATTTCTAATTAATTCTAATTACAGATCATGATCACAATAAATTACAATCTACCACCTAATTTGGAAAACTACTATTCATTTAAATTGAAAACTTAAAAGCTGTAACTTAAGGGGAATTTTCCCCAGACTGTGCTTAGCCATTCAACTATGCTTTCCCTCCTCCCCTATCAAAACACATAGTCACTCTCGATAGCCCTGACTGTACACTCTGTGTAGGTATTGTCCACTGTACACTAGCTAGAATTATTAGTAGATAAGAACAGATGCTGATTATCTCATAAATCACTTTATTGGAAGCTGGAATTTGTTTTGCCATCCTTCCATTATAATATTGTTTTATATTATGTATGGTCATGATAATGGAAAAACAATAAACTAAAATCTGGAAACAGATGTTCCAGATTATCTAATCAAATTCTTTGACCTGATTGATATTCACAATTCATAAAACAATTTATTGTAAAATGGTAATACAAATTTTATAGTACATACATCATAACAATAATTATTAATATCAGGAAAACAGTACCAGGTATATATGGTATTGGTATGGCTATGGTATTGTTAAATGGAGTTGACACAATTATTCTTCATGGAGACAGAACACCCAATGAAAATCTCTTTGCTGAACATGTGTAACAAAAAATGGGAATACAAAATTTCAGTCATGACTGAAAATATTTAACAAGCGATGTTCCTCAGTATTTCTTATTATCTTATTAATAATTAATAGTTCTTATCATTATTATTATTATCAATCAAGTAGTAAATCCAAAAAAAACTTTTAAAAATAAATCCAGGAAAAGAATGTTTATAAAAAATGTTTATGTCTAAACTTTTCATTAAATTTAACTTTTCATTAAATATCTATATCATTTTAAAAACTAAATCTATCTAAGATTCATTTATTGAATTATCCTGACACAATTGCAAGATTAGCAATTAGCCCGGAGGATCTTACGCCAGCAATAGCCGATAGAATGATGTGGTGTGTCCAAGTGTCATCTACTGTATCTCGACCACGGTCGAGATAGATGTTTTAAAATAGACTGTTTCAAGAACGTACCAAGGAGAGAAAAAAGCAAGTTCTTTGTATTTTTTAGGGCAGAACTTCAAGTTCCATCTCAAAAAGCCAACAGTTTGGTTTGCTTTTTAAAATATATTTATGTTAAAAGATATTAAGAATCATTGGAAAAAATTATAAAAAGATCCTAATGTACAAAAGGTCAATCATTAAAAAAGTAAAAAAGAGACATCAAAAAAAAGATCCTAGACAATAAAATCATTAAATTAATTTTTTTTTTAAATTAAAACTGGTTACAGTTTAAAATTTATCTAAGCCAATGGGCTTTGCTTTTAAAAATCTAATACTGTATAGAGCTTGGTACCAAGGAAGTTTGATATCGTTCAACTCTATTAGTAGTAGTATTTGATTTATATAATATAATTGAACATAATTTTGTTTCATTTACAAACAAGTATATTTTCTGAGAGGCTTTAAATCCTTGGTATATATCAACAGCCATAAATGGTGTATTTACCAGCATGATTAACCACGTTTCTTAAATGTAAACAGGCCTAGGGCCTAGGCTAGGCCTATATGTATGTGTATTATTTGTTAAAAATCAACAAGAAAAGAAAATAGATCAGGGCCTTCGAGACTCACGTTACGTTTATTGAAGCCACAATCTGTATTAAAACTTTCACTCTGTTTGCCTCCGATAAACAGAAGGACCAGGACTAGGCCTAAGCTAGGCTAAGTCAACAATGACTCTTCCTACACACAACCTGGTAATTTTGTCAGTGATGCTGTCTTTCTCTCTACAAAACACTTGTCAGGCCAACAATGGAATTTGCAGTACAGGCTTGGTCACCAAATCTATTAAAAGACATGGCAAAACTTGAGAAAGTGCAAAACAGGGCTACCAAGCTGGTACCAGTACTACAATTTCTTCCAGCAGAAGAAAGACTGTCATGGTTAGGACTCTCTACTAATATGCAGCAAAGAAGAGAACGTGGAGATATGATCGAGACCTACAAGATACTGAATGGCTTTGATGACATAAAGGTTTCAAACTTTTTCACCTTTCGTTTTACACCAGGAGAACATTTCCTCAGAGAGGCCACACACAAACACTTTATAAACATAGACATAATACTAAAACAAGAGATACTTTCTTCGATACACGTGTCATAAATAAGTGGAACTGCTTACGGTTACCACAACATGTCATAACAGCACAAGCATAAACAATTTTAAACAAAACTATGACAATCACATAATCCAAGAGAGGAGGCAGTTTCATGATAAAATCTCAATGCCTCCTGTTTCATTTTAAGGTAAGTTTAAGGTAAGAATCCATTCAGACTGGCCATAGGCCTAGCCTAATATATAACTAGCTAGACCTAGCTAACTAAGGACTAGCCTAGGCCTAGCTAGGGCCTTAGCCTCTAGGCCTAGGCTAGCCTAGGCCTAAAAAAGGCTAGTATACTTTAATTTAATTTCTCGTGAGTGAATAACTAAATTTCTATTTATTTTATTAATTACAAAATTAATTTATTTGTATACGAAATAAGGAAGGATACGTTCTAAATAGTAAGCACCTTCTTCGCCGACCCGTTCAATGGCGACGGCCATCGTTGTACCGTTGTTGTCGACTCTTGTTGCTAGCCTACGCGAATAATTTATTATGCTCATGAACTTTGAACTGTCTTTACTCAAAACTCATAAATATTCATCTCCTGTCGTCTTTTCCGTACGTAGCTGACTGTAAGCTGCTCTCCCACCTAGGTTTATTTCACCTAAGAGTCGTACGATTTCTACGAGTTAAAACTCGTGATCTTTGGAAAGGACCTATACGAGCTTATTACGTGTTAGCTACGAGTGAGGTACGACTTTTCGAGTTTACTACGAGTTATCTACTCGTGGCGATAATTTTGAACATGTTCAAAATTAGCGCCACGAGTTCAGAGCTGCTACGAGTAGGTAAGAGTCCTCTCCGAGCTTTCCGAATCGTCCTACGAGTTTTTGCCGAGTTAGCAACTCGGCATTCTCTTGTAACTCGTATACCGAAAAAAACCCTAGTGGGAGAGGGGCTAACTGTAATAATTTATTTTCTTGTGTGAAAAAAATAAAAAAGAGACAGAGAGTTAAATAGAGTCAAAATCAACTGTATGATAATACATTTGGACATTAAATAGGATTTATAGCGTCCGGGAATCCTGTTTCTTAAGCATCACAGGAGGAAGGGTGTGATTAGCTTACTTGACCGTTAAAGTCATGCTCCGGAGGAAAACAAATTTGTAGAACTGATTTTTCTAAGACAAAAAAAGTAGTTTTTTTTTCTGTCCGGGTTTCTGTCTTAGAAAAGTCAGTTCTACAACATAAGCCTAGGCCTATACAAAATTGTTTTCCGGAGTCTGAATAGAATAATAAGTGATATTAACATAATATAGTGGCGGCATACAACAGGCGTCGCCATAGAAGGGCAAGGCCGCTATATTCTCAATAATAATCATATCAAGTGACGTATGAGAATGAGAATGTATTTTGATATTTTTACACTCTCTTCGTTGCCTAATCAAGTACCAAGTTTTTTAGAGTAGGCCTAAGTTGAACATATTTGACCCATGTGCAATTCAAATTTATGAAATTGTAGGATAATGTTATTGCTATATTTGTTTGTTTGGATTTTTTTATAAATAAATTTATTACAAAAATATTTTTTTTCTAAATCCTTTTTAATTCTCTTTTTTTTTCATTGCTTTTACAGGTTAACGGTTTAGAGTGAATTCACTCTGGTGTCTCACTTTCTGAGTCTTTCATTCTTTGACACGCAGAACTTGTCTTTTTGTACTTCATTGTTTTGTCTTTCATAAGTTGTGTCGAATGTTTTTTTATGTGACAAATTGATAATAAATAAATGAAAATAATATACAAATATAATAGGCCTATAACCTATTGGCGTTTAAAAAGGGAATTCTTGAATATGATTGAATTTAGGCGGCATCACAAGTGTTCAATTACATAATGTTAAAGCAGAGAGAAATTACTGAATAGTTTCATTTGCAGGGTGCTTTCATTTCACAAAAAAATGCTAGGCTAAGTTTTGTTATAATAGTTAAACATTCCATGGTATTTTTACCCTAGCCTATAGGCCTATATTACTTTTGTTTAATTCTGTTTATTTATACTCTCACGCATGAATATGATTGAATTCGTTATGAATACATTCATTCATCTTTATTTAGTCAAATAAGTGTACAATACAATTTACACAATTAAAACAAAAAATAACAAATTGTAAAATAACCTAAGATGGCTAGGTTGATGGGTGACGGGGACACTTCATCTCGAAAGCCAATCAACCCAGAAATCTAGGTTATAGTTTTTTTTAAATCTGATTACAAAGCATGATTGTGATATTAAATAATGCAGTATGGTATTTTTTTGCCAAAGATTTCTTTTTATAAGAATCACATTTTTGTCCATAATTACGCATGCGCTCATCATTAAAGCCGGAGCCACTAAGAGGAAATGGTAATTGTACTGAGAGAGTAGTACAGTGGCTCATTTTTTTGTTTAGATAGTGCAAGCTCAAGTCGAAAACTGTAGTAGCTGGTGGTGAGTGCACAGTTCGAACAGTAAGTAGAGAAAGCAGAACCATGATTTTAGTGGCTGGCCTATACTGTATTAGAGCAGGGAGTTGTTATCGTTAGCTGGTGGAAGGTGCTACTAAAGACTATTTTAGATAGAGGAAAAACGAGAGCAGCAAGCCCAAAATGTAATCAACCGAATTGCATGATGGGAGGCCAGTGGAGTAGGGCGCCGCGTATCGGCTGTGTGTATAAAAACAAAGATCTTATAATTGTTCTAGGTCTATCTATTCTTGTACACATAGCTTATACCTATATAATAATTGGATAGGCTAAGCTAGGCCCCCAGCTTTCAAGTAAAAAGGAACATTACAGTGTATTTGTTAGGTATATCTAAAGTACTAGATAGAGATCTACTAAATAAAAGGCCTAGCCTAGACATGCCTAGGCGAGGCTACTTTTGTTAGTTAAACTTGGCCTTGATCAATTAATTATTATTAATTATATTTTAATTATTGAGTATTATTATTATTATTAATATTATTATTGTTTACTTATTATTATTATTATTATTATCAATATTATCATCAATATAATTGTTATTGTTATAGGCATAATAATAGTAATTGTATTATTATTATTATTGTTGTTTTTATTATTATTATTATCAATATTATAATTAATAACATTTAACATTTTTTCAACCTGGTTAGGATCAATAATGACATGTATTATGACAACAATTAGGCCCTATTATTAATAATTGTAATTTTATTATTATTATTATTATTATTATTATTATTATTATTATTAATAACATTTAACATGTTCCAACCTGGTTAGGATCAATAAGTCTTTATGATCACATACTATATGGTACCACATTTTGATGGTAATTATGTGTTGTAGTTTCACATTTACAGTGAAATTAAGGGCCGTTTATTTAAGTATTATTATCCATTTTACACTAATAAAATGCAAAATGCAGGATTTGGCGGTAGGGAGTGCGTGCTGAGAGTCGACACCTCCTCAGCCCCATCATTCTCATAATGGGCTGAGGTGACCCCTCTCAATGAGATATTTTTTAAATAGGAACCTATGGATGGCCGGAAATGGCACTATACAGTACGACTGCGAAAATTCTTGTTTTGTTGTTTTGGCCCAGGTGTAGGCCTGTTTTAAATTTTAAATGGTCCGACTGCCCGACGAACTCGGCCGGTGGGGGCTTTACCTGTCCGATGGGGCTCAATCAACATCAGATCATGTAATGTTTTGTTATTAGATAATAGGACATAACAGGCAACTGATGCAAACATAGTTTTACATACATAAGAATATATTATTTTACCTAAATATATGATTATATAATCATAATATATATATAATATAATCATATATATATATAATAATCATAATATATATAATCATATATAATATATATAAGCTTAGAGGCTGAGCATTTTTCGTTATATCAAATTTAACTTTATTATTATTATTATTATTATAATCGTCCTTCATATAACACTGCAAAATGAAGTGTGCACAAACAAAAATTTTAATAAAATAATTGTATATAATTTACAATACACTCGTATAAAAATTACATATGATAAATAAATATAATGTTTAGAAAAGGCCGTTCTCTACAAGTCGAAAATAGCATCGCAAGCAGCCCACCCCTACCTTATTACCTGTAATTTTTATTATGAACATAGGAAGTTCACACACTGCCTCGAGAGGGCCTGACTCGCATGATATGACTAGTGACTAGAGAGAGTTGCGACATGAGCCGCTGAGCACCCGGTCGCCTGTGGCAGGGCAAATGTGAAACCTGCTCCTTTGTTCGCGTCACCTAGGTAGGGGACCGGGACTGCGCTAGGGCAGAGGCGGATAGTTGACCCTTTGAGACCTAGCGTTGTTTTGCCACCACACTCTATTATATTGTAAATTCAACATCTTTTCTATAATTTTATGTAAAGCGCATAGAGGCACTGTGCAATCGCTATAAATGTAACTTATTATTATTATTATTATTATTATTATTATTATTATTATTATTATTATTATTATTATTATTATTATTATAGGACTCCATATTGGGGCCATGTATGCATGAATGAACACGAACGCCAATTCTACATTGTGGCGATTGTATAAATAACAGGCAATTGTAAAAAAAAATATTAAAAATATTAAAAACAACATTGTATACCATTTGATAGTAAATATCTGTTGATTAATGCATATTTGAAGTTCATAGTAAAATTCAAGAAAAAATTGATTTTCAATAGTCTGTTATAATTAATTATATTACATGTAGTTTTTGCTTGACCAGATTGGCGTAGCACCTTTAGCTAGGCGTACATGATTGCATTTGTTAAGCGTAGCGACTATGCCAAGGCCTTACTTACACCCACTATAAAAACTTACACACGGACAACTTTGAAATTCGTATACTAAACGGGTGTTTGCGGCAAGCCTCTAGCCAGTAGTGGCGCCAGGACCTGCCCGACGGAGGGGCTAAAGGCCCCGACGGGGGGGGGGGGCTAGTGGAGCGAATCAAGTCTCACTTGGCTGGGCCCCGGTAGGGGTGGAAGCCACGGATATTTGATGAATTATGGCGAATTTTTATTACTTATTTGATAGGCATCGAGTTACTATAATATGACTTCATGTAGGCTATGCTTTTTAATGTTGACATCAGCTTCCAAAACCAAAACATTTTGAATAAAGCAAGAAACAAAGAGTATGCAATGTAACCATCTAATTTATTTTCAAATCCTCATTCTTAAAAGTGAAATTCTATATTTTGGAAATTTTGCATGAAATCTGTCAACCACGTTGTCATGGTCGAGGTTGCTTCACCTATCACGATGTATTCCAATCATCATGTGGCTATCTAAATGAGCATTTGTCATAACAGAACGCAAATCATTTTTAATTAATCTCATTGAATTATTTGAATTATTATTATTATTATTATTATTATTATTATTATTATTATTATTATTACTATTATTATTATTGTTATTGTGGTTGTTGTTGTGATGAAAAGTTAACACAAACAATATGGTGGCTAAATCCCCGACGGGGGGGGGGGGGGGGGTTATAGCCCCCCCCCCCCCCCCTTCTGGTGCCACCACTGCCTCTAGCTAGGATGCTAGTCTCATAATATCTCAAAACAACTTTAGTATAACAAGAGAAGTCGGTAAGTCAACGGTAACTGAAACACTACTTACTTCTAATACTAGCTAGGCTGCTGCGTACGTAGGCCTATGTTAATGTACTATTTACATAGGCTCTTCTTTTCCCATCTTGAATTCAGAGGTCGAAACAAATTTTCAATTTTATTTCAATAATAAAGTGGTGTAGAATAGTCTATTAAGAACATTTTCCAGTAAAAAATAATGTAACTCGACCTCTCGTTACGAAGTTATGAATTTTTAAATAACATGAGGTCGAGAATGTAGCCTCAAAGCTTATCTTATTTCTGTTAGATACGCACCATTGGTTTAGTTGTGTGGCCCCAAAATGGCGGAATGAGGGCGTCCACAGGTCACGGACCTGAACCGCTCACGTCTCAACTCTCTCATAGCAACTCTAGATATGACGCACTTCCGGAAAAAACCGTTAAATTCTGAAATGCAAAATACGCTAGCTGCTCGTTCCTCTACTCTATATTCTTTGGTGCTACCCGGTAACCTCAGAGGTCATGATGTGACCGTGTGTATATATCTGCTTTTAAAATTTTGTAGTTAAGAACTGACCCACTTTGGAAACCAGTACTATGTATTGAAAGTGTATATTCAGTGTAAAGAAAGAATAAATAAAATAATTAGTCCACTGACCTTGACCACGTAGGCGGTGTCTCCCAATGTTTTGAAGTAGCGGTGGGTAGACAAATACACAGTCGTGGGGATTCTGGAAGTTTATATGACTTCAGTTGTTTAGAACCAGTTAATTTTGAAAACTCTGATGAAAATTGTATAAGTCTACTGTGGGTCTACTGTGCCATAACATGCCATAATGCAACGTGCTAATGCCACTTTTATACCTTTTTTTACTTTAGGGGTAGTACCTTTTTTTTTTTATCAGAACCAGTAAAATTTGCCCAGGCTCGGTGTTATTATTTTGCTAATTTTAGGCTTAGAATCTTCTTATTTTGTTCCTATTTTTACACACTTTTCAAACATTTAAGATTACTATTGAACAGGACGTATATTAGCCTTCTGTACTGTATTTTAGAGGGTATTACATAGACATGGCACCTGCTGCAAATAAGGTACGGTAGTCCACAGATAAGATTTGTTAGTTTTTCTATTAAAAATAATACAAACCTCACTTAATATTACCTCAGCCTAAATTTGTTTTGATTTTGTTCTTACTTTTTAAGCAATTTCAGCAGTGTTCTTATAAACAGTGTTCTTATAAAAAAGAAAGTGTACCTCAAGATGCCTGTTTTTATCAACAACGAGGATAAACTCTGTGCCTCCGAAAAGTTGATTGCAACTTGTTGACTTATCAATTATAAAACTCTGTCCGTCTGTAACGTACACCTATATAGAATTGCTTCAATTATTGACTTAATGAGTTTGCACAGTACCACACAACATGAAAAAAAACTAAATATTAAGGTCTAGCAGTACGGTAAGCAAGGGGTAATTGTTTAAAAAAAAAAATTTAGTAACCTTGCTAAGAATTGAGAATTATACCTCCCTGATTGGTGCTTCAGTGCTACATTTAACTTAAAAGAAAAAAAAATGCTGGAATTCGAACTTTCCTCTGTTGTTTTAATTCATCCACTTTGTTCATATTCATGGTTGTTTATAATCAGTAGCTTCAAATAAAGCATTCATAGAAGATTCTGAGTCTATAAACCATCTTCAACAAGCAGCGTAGCTTAGTGTCCTAAGACCAGTTTTGTTAGTTGACTTGCCTCACGGCGTGTATGTCCAATAGGTATCCTCCTAGTTGGTCGAAATCCAGTTTGTCGAAACCCGGTTTGCCGAAATTAACCCGCTTTGCCGAAAACCCAGTTTGCCGAATCCAGTTCTCCAAAAACATGAAATCCCAGTTGGCTGAAACCCAGTTTGCCGAACCCAGTTTGCCGAATATTAATTTTGTCGTCACCGTCGTACAAAAGCGCAGAACACTACTATTTTCAAATAAAATGTAATAAACAGTAATTATGTACTAGGCGAAATCGAATGTAAACTCAGACGTAACTATTTTGAACTAAATGTAATAACGGTAATTATGTAGGCGAAACCGAATGTAAACTCAGACTTAACAACAAAAAAATTAGTTAAAGACCATCAAAAGGTTGCTCACCACTTTAATTTACCGATCCATACTATCAATGATTTAGGCTTTATAATCTTAGGCACCAATTTCAAATCTACTAAGGCTAGAGAAAGAAATAGTGCCACCACTTTATAAGATGCAGTAGCGGTAAGAACATGGACCTATTAGTATTAAATAGTCCATGGTAAGAGAAGTATTCCTTCGTGAATTTTATGCTGCTGTTAGTGTTTCACAGCTTTTAACTGACTTTCGGCAAACTGGGTTAGGCAACTGGATTCGGCAAACTGGGTTCGGCAAACTGGGTTTCGGCCAAATGGGATTCATTTTTTTTTTTTTTTTTTTTTTGAGTCTGCAAACTGGGATTCGGCAGAGTGGTCTCGGCAATCTGGCATTCGGCAAACTGGATTTCGACCATCTGGCCATCCGTACAATAAGAGACGGCTGGCACAGTTCCTCATGACTCTTGCTCTGGTGCCGTATTAATAACCGTCTACGATTCAGTTTACCGGTTCTATCAAATGCATTAACAGCTGCCTCTGATTCTGATACCAGTTCCGTCTGATGCACTAACAGCTGCCTCATCTAATACATACCAGTTCCACACGATGCACTAACAGCTGCCTCTATGCTGTATATCAGTTCCATCTGATGCACTAACAGCTGCCTCTAATGCTGTATACCAGTCCCATCTGATGCACTAACAGCTGCCTCTAATGCTGCATCAGTTCCATCTGATGCACTAACAGCTTTCTCTAATGCTGCACCAGTTCCATCTGATGCATTATGGAGGAATCCTTCATGGATGCACTAACAGCTGGCTCTAATGCTGCATACAAGTTCCATCTGATGCCCTAGCTGCATCATGTTGCCTACTAGCTCCATTTGACGATATAATTATTGGGTAATGATAGGCATTTATAAAACGCATATCTGTGGTCTCTATATGCGCTGGGGTGGGAAAAGAAGGTAAATAAATGCTCCATCTGATGCTTCCTCTCGTTTCATCTGATGCATGTCCGTAAGATCTGTCGATGCTGCACTAACAGCTGTTCTGATACTAAAATCTTCGGATTATCAGTTGAATTTGTAGGCTTAGGCCTACAGACATTTAGAAGATTTAGTCAGATCCTGGTTTTTTAGCATTCTGATGATACTGTAAATCTTGATTAAATGCTTATCAAGTTTTGGACTAATGATAGTACATTTCGTTTCTCTTTTTTAGACGTTTTATATTGCAGAGTGAAATAAAAAAAAAGGAGACCATAGGAATGGCTGCCAAAAAGAAGTTACCCTTAGTTGTAATATTTTGCGAGTTTCCTGAAGTCTATGATCATATTAGAAAACTAGATGCCACAATACCACTTCAACTTATTGAGGTTACTAATATGCAAGGTTTGAAATATTCCTTAGCTAAACATTTAAGGCTTGTAGGCCTACAAAGATCTTTGCGATGTCTTTGTTTTTTTCTTGCATGGATATTACATGAGACGTCGTGCGCTAATCTTCACCAATCGGCATTACATGTGATGTGATGATCTTCCCTAAAACACGATTTGTGTAATATTTTCGTCTTGTGTTATTGTGAAACAGGTATAGGCCTACGTGCATAAATTGGTACCGTTGTCTCTTTAGATTTGATTTGAATTTATTTAGCCATCAGAGTAAAATACAAAAACAATTGAAGACAAGACAAGATAAAACAAAACAATTGAATACTCTGAAAGCAAGGAATAGCCCAAAAAGGTTTGAAAGAAACGTATTTCCATTGGGATCCTGCGAACGAAACATTCAATTGACAAATGGAAGTACAGGAAAGGGATCAACACAAAGCAAAAAAGAAAAAGGGATTATTTACAATTTTAAAAATTAAGACAATACAAAAGATCAACAATTTAAAAGAAAAAAGTCAATTTGACCGATTAAGACTCATTAAAAAAGACTTACAGAACTGCTATACATTCCAGAGGTGATCTTTGAGGGACATTTTAAATGAGTTTAATGAAGTGGAGAGCTTTATTTGTGTTGGTAATCTTTTCAACTCAGTTTCCAATCCCTTAACAAGGGCGGTGCCAGCCTTTCTCCGACAGGTGGTCTACCGGTCTCCGAAAATGAGCCAAGGTCCACACCCACATCAGCTCACCCTTGTGTGTTACAATAAAATTCATATTCGCGTAAATAAAATACAAATATAAAACATTTAAGGCAGATGGGGAGCTTGCACCGAAACAGTCTCCACCACATAGCCCCCCCCCCCGAACTTAACTTAAAGATGCCAACGATTGAAAGGACGGCAGCTCTCCCCAATGGCCCCACACTGGCGCCACCACTGATATTTTAACAATGATATTTAACTTCTCTTCTGTTATGATAACATTAAATAACCCTGCCTGATAATAACTTTTTGTGTCTTTTGTTAGCTCCTGAAATTTCAGAGACAGCTTTGCGTCAATTAAAAGAAGCTGACATTTTGATTACTGATCCAATTCTGTTGTTACAGTTTTATAAACAATTGACAGCACACACAAAATGGGTTCAATCTACATACGCAGGTTTGTATCCCTAAAATTTAAATAATAACAATAGCAATAAAGAATTATTACAACTATTACTGGTATTATAATAATAATAATTATGACTACGGCAACAATTCAAAATATCATCATTATTATTAAATTTTAGTTACAGTACTGTTATTAGGTGAAGAATTATGTTTCCCAAACCCAACTGACCAAAACCTCAGAAATCTAGGGTCGGTCTCGTGGTACTTTTTGAGTTTTAATACATTAATGGGTTCTATAGCCCAGGGCCTTTCATTACAAATCAAAATGCATAGAGTTTTAAGTGAGTAGTCCAATAATTAAGAAGCCCTACTGACTCTGATTTTCAAATGTCAGCTGGCTGGGCAACCAACAAATTTTTAGCTTATTATCCTCTTTGTCATTATTGGTGACACTATCGTTGATTTTATATTTCACAGGACAAGATCACTTTTTTAAACACCTTGATTATTCAAAGCCTTTGCCAGAATTTTCTCTCTGTAAATTCGGACACATATTAGGAGTCCACCTTGCTGAATATGTGATCGGCAGATTGATAGCTCACGAACGGAAATTTTATGATCGCTATGAAGCACAACAGGTCAAAGAATGGTGAGCTTTGTAGCTATAGCACTTCTATAATATTTATACATATTAAGTGCTTGAATAATATTATATGGTGATAAAATGTAATAACTGATTATTATTATTATTATTATTATTATTATTATTATTATTGTTGTTTTTGTTGTTATTTCTATTATTATTATTATTATTATTATTAACATCATAACTGAAATCTTTTCAACAGGCGTCAAGAATGCCCTTACCGTCTTTTATCAGATCTTACTATTGGAATACTTGGTGTAGGAGATATTGGATCGCAAAGTTAGTACTTTTATCTTTAGTTAGTAATTTTTATTTTACATATTATATTTTTGTGCATTTTTTTAAATTTATAACAAAAATGATATGTGTAACCGTCGATGAGAGCTGCTAAAGTCTGTAGGAAGATCATCCTGGGTGCACCGTCTAGTAATTTTGTAGGGAACAAGAATTATATCGTCTCAGATTCTCAGACTTTCCAGTCATCTAGAGTCGGTCAAGGCCGTGTTTTAGAAGACATATATTATTTTCGTACACGGTCGCCAATTACCTCCATGGTCTCATTGTCTATAGAATGAAAATTGTTTTGTAACTACTCTAGTATTCTTTTTTGTTTGATGTTATCATCTAGGTATATGTTGTTACCTAAAATAAATGTTGTTTATTTTGTGAAATTTTATTGGTTCACCCCTGTTTTCTTTCTTTGAATACCAGTTGCTAATTACTGCAAATTTCTTGGCATGAAGGTATGGGGAATGGTTAGAAGAGATTTACCAATAGATAAAAGATCAAGTTACGTAGATCAGTATTGGTAAGAAAATAGCCAAGTTATTTGTTTATCTAAAAAAATGTCATTATTTTTATCATTATTTTACTGAATCATTACTTTTTTACATTGTTTGTTTATTTGTGATCCCTTAAAGCACAAAGTCATGAGTGATGCTGTCTTCTTTAGATTCGGTGTAAACACCAAGGATAACCCACGAAAGTCTAAGGAAGACTTATTTCCAATGGGATCCTTCTGGTAGTGATTGGGCAGTACACGCGGGAGACAATCCCATACTCTTTCAGAAGAGTGACTGTGTTTTGTAACGTGTACACGGGCTGTAATACACACGGGATCAACGGCTTAAACGTCTCATCGGAAAGACGATGCGCTATCGTAACTTGTATTTCAGCCCTCCAGCTGATACAAGTAGAGTAGCAATGGAAATTGAACCGGTGACCAAGAGATCGCCACGGTTCGCGCACACACAGTGGCTACCACCAGGTTAGCCGATTGAGCTAAGCTGCTTCCAGGGAAATTTGATTTGATTTGATGAATTTGCTTATAGGCCCTTCTGAATAATCCTATATTTCAAGTCCGTCAATGTCTCCTCAAACAGTAACAGCCGATACAACATGATTCAAATTTTATCTCCCTTCTCTGTTTGATTTGCAGTCCATTTACATTCTTTTGATTTCTACGGTACAGTTTGACATCTGACTTGCCTGTACTTCTATCCAATTGTGACGTTGTGTGTAATGTGTTACCAAGTACGCCTCAAACTATTGGTATTTTATCTGGTGAAGTCTTAGCAGGTGCTAAAGAAAAGGTAGTGTACATATAGCCGTCTTTGTAAATCGTGCTGATGTTAATGCATTAAGCAGGATATAAAGAAATAAATTCAATTTTGCTCTGAAATTCAAACTCTAGGCCTACCATCTTGTTGGTTGAATATTACGATGATGACGACAAAGATGAAAAGTGGAGGTATCAGAAACAGTGATGGTAACAGCAGCAATAACTACAACATCCTCAATAAGAATAATAATAGATATGCTAAAAATATTTAGTAGGGACTATTCGTATAATATTGAAGTCGTCGTGCATCCCCAGCATTCTTGAACCTGTCAATAACTGATCAATGTTTAAATGATTATTTTGAATCGATTTATTAACAGAAACCAATTTTTATTAACGTTGGAAGAGGAGATGTTATTGATGAAGAAAGTATCATTAAAGCTATAAGGTATGTTATCATTACAGTCTCATTATATAGTTGTGGCCTGCTGTGGTACCTTTGGGGCACTAAATTGGTCGCAGAATTCGGACAGCCAGCCTTCTGCGGCTCTTCGGATACTGCTTGTTCGCGTCAATGGTATTGGAGGGTCTATAATTTGTTTTTCTTAAGCCTCATCGATTTCAGTTGAAATGATTATAGTAATAATTTAAAGTTTATTTCAGAATAATGGTAACCAAATAAACATTTTTCCCCTACACAGTCATTTATATGTATTCTTTCATAAATAATAAGACCCTATATAAACCCGTGGGTCTGTGATAATATTTAAGGAAAATGTTAATAGGAAATCCGCATGGAGTACTAAATACTATTTCCTATTGTCTATTTTCACAGGAAAAAATGGATCTCTCATGCAATACTGGACGTGCAACCAACAGAGCCTGTTCCTAAGGACAGTCCTCTTTGGGACATAAAAGAGGTATGATAATGGGGTTCCGGCCCGTTGCAACCTGGCCTTTCCCACCTGGCCTTTTGCCACAATGTCATTCGCCACCTAGGCTCGTTGCCGCCAGGCTTTTGGCCACCCAGCCATTTATCACCCAATGGTTACTGGGCCACCATCAATCTAATGTTTCCTTTAATTTAAAACAAACATTTCGTTCTAATTGAGGAAAAGTATGATTCAATTCAAATTCAAATTTAATTTCTGGAAAAACATAACAAAGACATGATGCGGCTGTCTTGCAAGGATTTGCAAAAAGTTATCAAAAAACTATCAAGTGTACTCTCCTGACAGCATCATTGCAAATTAAAAATCATAACAGAAAATCATTAATAATATACATTAACTCCTTCACATACAAAAGAGCCAATCTGGCAGGAGGAAAATAACTACAGTATATTATTATTAAAATTTAAGTTTAAAATAGTAAATAACATGTAATCATTTGTATAATATTTTTAAATAAGTAAAATAATAATAATAATAATAAATAATTTTAAAAAAATAATAAAATAAGTATAATAAAATAAATAAAATAAAAAAATAAAGCAAAATTAATAACTAATTAAATGAATAAATTAATTAATTAAATAATAAATAAATGAAAATAAATAAATATAAATCCAAGATGACATCAAAAACAGTAAGAACTGCAAATATGAACATACATAATGAGCCAATCAGAAGATATTGACATAATTATCGAGATGTTCATGGGCAAGTGATTTTAAAATGATTAATTGAAAATAATAATGAGCATCTGACATTGTCCGGGAGGGAGAGAATTAAAGAGCCTACTATCAATATATTCAGAGGGCACCGTGGCTTGAATCATCCTACATTATAATGAACAGTATTGGTTTTGGTTGAGAATATTTATTGTGAAATGGTTTAATTTGCTATTTAGGTAACAATGTCCCCGCATGAAGCAGGCTTATCTTTTGGGGAAGAAGTAAGTACATTTCTATTTTACTCTGTTAAACTACCATTTAATTTTAAATTCCATATGAATTATCTGGTATTTAGATGACACAGAAGAACGATACGTGCAATGGTATTAAGATAGTCCAACAATCAGCAGAATTGAGTAGGCCTGTCTGTCAAGTTTTCTGTAGGGTTTTTTGCAGTCCACCTCAAACTCTTCACAAATATGAATGAAATAATATATTCCTTTTTTCTTTTTGGTGTGAAGCTTGCTACAACATTTCTTGAGAATTACATGAGATACGTCAGAGGTGAACCGCTTAAGTATATAGTGGATATGCAAGCCGGATACTAGTGGTTTGGCTTACAAGTAGCCTACATTGAAAATGACAACCGATGGCACGCAGGGTATTCAACAAGCTAGTTTTATTTTTTCTATTAATGTGTGTGTTACAGTAGCTTTCTTTCTTGATGTATTTTTTTTTTATACACCCATTTCAAACGTAGACGAAATTCAAACTAAAATGTTATTACAAGTCTTTGTTTCCCACAACTCTGACTCTACCTTCTCGGAAGTATTTTCAAGAACAGTTAAAAATCCTCATAATTGTCTTGAAATGGCTGCATTTGTATATTTATGATATGCTTTGTTTGCTGCAAATTGAATTCAAAGTAAAATTCAAGTTAAAAAATTAATTTAAAAAAAAATTAAATTAATTCACCAAAAACAAAATGTGTTCACCTGTAACATGTAGGCCTACACATTGTGTACATTATGACCATCCAAAATGTTTAACAATCTTAAAAGTCGTAAGCGTTCTTTAAAAACCATCAATTTCAACATTGTAAAACTTCTATGTTTATCTACATGTCTTTACTTTAAATTTGAATGAATTTTATAAATAAAGATTATTGAATTGAATGATGAATGGAACCAGTACTGTTGGCTTTCTTGTATTTATTAAACACGTTTTTTTTTTTTTTTTTTTTTATATTACAAACACCAAAGTGCCATGCTCAAAGCCCTCATACGTTTTGGAACTGGTCTTAGTTTAAGAAGTTAATTCAAATTTATTTACTGTTTGTGATTCTTTATTGTAAAGCACATTGAAATTTTTTGCAGAATGCAAAAGAATATAGGCTATAAAAGAATTGACTTATTATTTTTATTGCCGGTAAGTGATTTTTTTAAAATTTTGATTAAAGATGGTGGAAAGAAAAAAGGTTTATTTCACTCCATTTGAATTACTGGCCGTATTCGACTGGTCGTTCTTCGTTAAAACATGCCGACCTGCGCAGTGGTAAAATCCAACTTACCGAAGACAACCAGTCAAATAGAAAACTGGTAAATACTCGACAAAACAAAATGGTTGCATAGTTATCGCGATACTCGCTACATAATCAGGGTTGCATTGGAGTTTTTCGTAAAAAAAATGTTTTCATCCCGTTTTTGAATTCTGTCAGCCTACAATTATTTTTTGACTTCATTATGGGTAAATATTATAATTTTTATTTTCTAAAATTTAAACACAAATGTTGTTGCTAAACTGACCAATCGGTGATGTTTGTTTTGGTCTCGCGGATACCGTAACCTAACGCTGATTAACGCACTCTGGTTACGTTAATTTGGTTGTCAACGAAGTCTTTTACGAACCAATCGAATGAAAATAATACTCAACGAAAAGTCGTAGTCAACGATGGTTCGGAACCATTCGAATAAGCCCATTGTCAATGAAAAAGTTAGTATTCTAAAGCCGGACACTCACTGCGTCGTACGACCGTCACGCAGTGAGTAACCGGCTTAAAAAAGTAAAAAAAGTAAAAGCACAGCTGCATTCACATCGGATCCGAACCGAAATTCTGACCGCATTTCTGCTGAAGCACTGAACGCCAGCGTCCCTATTATATCTTGGTATCTTTATTAAACATCAGAAAGAAATGTCATCGTAGTTAACACAAAAAAGCATTAATAGAACTGAATTGAAACATTAATTTACAACCATGATAAAATAATTACAAATTACTGTACTTAAAAAAAAAACAACTACCACGACAATATAGTATTAAAAAAAACATTAAAATGTATTATCAAATATAGATATTAAAATTCTTACATAATTCGAGTTCTGATCGGTTCGAATTATGTAATTCGGTTTTCGGAGTGCGAGTTAAACTTAACAGTAGGAGCGCTTTGGCACAATGGTTGCGGTTCTGCTTCCTAACCTTGAGGTCGGAGGTTCATTTCTCTCTGGAATTTCGCTTATGTCATTTGGCAAGGTACTTTACCACAGTTGTCGCTCTCCACCCATGGGTAAAAGTGGGTACAGTTTCGAACACATAATGCACTGATTACAGCTTTAACATTATGGAATTCTCCCCAGAGAGCTGAGCATGTGTTTATGTGCTTATCCAGTGACGGGGGTAATAAGTGCGCTATATAAAACTACACTATTACTACTATTATTATTATTACTATTATTAAGTGAAGCACTTAGAGAAACCTTGTTGGCATTAGGCGTTATATAACTCTAACACATTATTATTCAAAATAACTGAAATACACACACACATGGCTCTCAAACATTTGTTACGTTTACACTCTCATACTTGTGGGACCTTGATTATTTTTCAATTTACTTTTTGAAATATTGTTTTTTTCCCCTTCTAAACTTGTTTTCTATATAAACATATTATATATATAAGTTAGTTGTGTTTATGGCGGCTGTCTTATAAGAGCTAGTGATTTATTTGCTTATAAAAAGGTGGCCCGATCTATCTGTTTTGTAATTTTGTTGCCTTCTTAGAATGGGTAATTGACATCGCTCTGGAATATTAAGCACTTTCGTCCGATGTGATTTGAACCTTCCTTATAGTAATAAAAAAAGAAACAAAACTGCAGCGGCCAACATGGAATTGATCACACTGTATTCTGCAGCATAAAGTGAACGCAGCTAGCCTGCTGACTGCTGCAAAGCAATGCTCACTTAAGGCGCTCTCGGCGCGCCATATACTTCCGTCAAAATCGCTAAAGTTTGTTTTATGTGCTCGAGTATTCTGGGTCTAGGCCTAGGCTAGGGAGGCGAGGCCATTTGCCTTCATTAATCTGCACCTCACGTCATCCAGTCATCTATGAATTTATAGTGTACACTGCGTAAGTGGCCGTAATATGTGAAAATCCATGGTGAAATGAGCTCTCTGCTTAGCTGGAACTCTTTTTTGCTGATTAAAATTTCATCCGCTCGAGTTACCGTCCACCACTCATTTGCAAAAGCCATCCCATCGGTCAGGGTGCTCATCCAGGGACGACGAAGTCGCTATCATCAGTCCTCGTTGAGTGGTCGACACGAAAAAATGGCGACGACTCTTGAGACCCTCAATTTTGATAATTTATCTCAGCGTTCGCTGCCTATAGATGAAGAAAAACGCAATTTTACCAGGCAGGTGCGAGGGGCTTGCTTCTCAAAGGTTTCCCCGACGCCTGTTGCAAATCCACAGATTGTAGCCTACGCTGACGATGTTATGACAGGTCTTTTGGATCTGCCTGAAAGTGAACTAAAGCGTGGTGACTTTGCAGAATATTTCGCTGGAAATAAACTCCTCCCGGGATGTGATCCAGCTGCACATTGTTATTGCGGGCATCAGTTTGGAAGTTTTGCTGGTCAGCTTGGAGATGGTGCAACAATGTAGGTTTGACAGAGTCAAAAACCTTTTGAAATAGGCTAGGGCCTAGGCCTAGCCTAGGTACCCAGGCCTAGGATAAATATAGTCTATGCCTAGCCTCTCTAGGCCTAAGGCCTTACTGACAGCAGGCCTAGGCTAGCAACTAGGACTAGTCCTAACATGTTGTGTGCTATTTAATAATTAATACTTTTGTTTACCAGACAAATACCTCAATGTCAAATGATTGACAGAGGCATAAATAATTCAATAGTTATTCTGAACAAGCCTTAATTAAAAAAGTATAAAGGATTGATTTTTAATCAGTAAATATGTAGCAACTCAACTAGGCCTATTCTAAAATATCTCTGGTTTTTATGAGAAACTGATTACCTTATTTTGATTTTTATAAAGCAATTTTATTTATTTCAACAATATTTTATGAGGCTGATTCATTGGCAGCGCCAATTCAATGTAATAATCAAATGTTTGACCGGTTGATTTGATATTTATTTGCAGGTATTTGGGAGAAATAGTGAACAAGCGAAGTGAAAGGTGGGAGGTCCAACTTAAGGGTGCTGGAGTCACTCCATACTCAAGGTCAGCTGATGGAAGGAAGGTATTAAGGTCAACAATACGTGAGTTTCTATGCAGTGAAGCTATACACCATCTTGGAATACCAACAACAAGAGGTAAATTTATGTGAGTTATCCAGAGTGATCGCCCTCATGACTGCAGCCAAAAACAAATTACTAACGAAGTGTGAAATCATTTACCGTAGATAAGAGATTGAGGTGGTTAAAACTGCAAAGTGTGTTGGCTCTGGGACCCCCTCCCCACCCTCACAGTAGATAAATGAACACCTTAAATCTTCCTGTCGGCAAATTAGGTTCTGCCCCTTCGGTCATTAGATCCATAATTGACAAAAACCTGCATAAAGTGCAAATTTTAACAGGCATCTGAGGAGTGTTGAACTAGTTGTGAAGTCCAACCAATCAATCAATGGCTTTAAGTCCTATCAGATACTCCTGGGTGGAAAAGGAAAAATATAGGTACAGGTATGTGCATTTTCCAATATTAAAAGGGGAATTCTTAACCATTCGAATCCCCAACCTTAATAATAAGGGCCTAAACTGCAGGGGTGTATGCTGGTTTTGGCCTGGGGATTACGAAAACATGAGAATACAAAACTAAGAGTTCAGATCTAGATCCCTATTCCATTTTTAGTATTTTAACCCATCCTTTATTAGTTCACTAATTTGCTGCCATTGCCCCCCCCCCTCCCAGCTTACACCCATGAACTGCAATCAGTTTGCTACTGCTAATTTTGTCAAATCTTATTACACCTCCCAAAATATGTTCACAGGCCACAATTATTATTCTCGGTTAAAATTTAATTAAAACAATTAGTAATTAAAAGTCAAAGTGTATTCTTTGTTTAAGGTGGAACATGTGTAACCTCTGACACAAAGGTCATCAGGGATATCTTCTATGATGGCAACCCCATTCAAGAGAGGGCTTCCATTGTTCTCAGAGTCGCACAAACATTCTTGCGGTAAGTTTGGTGAGGTGCTGTAACATGGTAATATTTCAATTTAATATTGGCTTGTTATTTGAGAAATCAATTAATACTTTATACAAGAGGAAGTAAGAAAAAGATAAATATATTGTAATGATGTTCTGAATAACCTTAAAAACTTTAATCGCAAAAAAACATGATTACTTACTACTTTTCATGTGGTGGATGCTCTTAAGGAAATGTCTAACTATTTATGGGGTCAAATGCCATCAATATTTTACGTGTTAATGTTTGCTCCCTCCAGCATGTATAACTTCAAAGAAACGCTAAAGCAGCCTGTCTGCGTCTTTTACAATCATGTGATTAGATTTAACTTTATGCAGCATTTTATTTGTTGATTAATCAAAAAAGGTATCGTTAATTTTATTCACAATGCCATCAGGTTTGGATCTTTTGAATAACTTCAAAGGAACCATAAAGCAGCCTGTCTGCGCCTTTACAATCACATACAATTATATGAATAGATTTAACTTTATGCAGCATTTTATTTGTTGATTAATCAAAAAAGGTATCATTAATTTTATTCACAATGCCATTAGGTTTGGATCTTTTGAAATTTTCAAGCCGGAAGACAGTTACACGGGACGCCAAGGTCCAAGCGTTGGCAGGAAGGACATTCTTGAGACTCTCCTCAACTATACCATTCAGACATTTTTTCCAGAGGTAGGTTTGGGTTCGCAGATACACATTGCGGAGGGAGAATGACTACAAAACATTTTAATGCTTAGTTGCTTATTTAGTGTTTTTGCGTATTTCAGTCCATAAATAGGTGATTAACTTTTATATATATTTTATTGTATGTATATCAAAAGTGCAATATCTTTTTTTTTAGTACCAAGCACTGCATTATATTCAAACTAGATGCGTATCCCTTATGAAACCTTCAACCACTCAATTAACATTATCAGCATACACCAGTCCTTCCAGTTGACTGTTGCTATTCGTAAATTAGATTTGTTCCCCCTCTGTGTCCCCTCCCCCATCATCTGAGGAAGTGCAGTGAAAGAACCCTTACAGTTGCAGTTTTCAAGCTTTTTTCATCCACCAGTCACCTTTGATGGAAATTTTGTAAACATGCTTAGTAAAACTGTAAAATACCATCACCACCATCTAAACAGTCACCTTAATTTATTCAATTAAAATATGTTGTTACTTAGGTTCATCAGAGAAATGAAGAGAATCAGGAAAAGAAGTATTTGGATTTCTATAAGGAAGTTGTTAGACTGACGGCTCAGCTGGTTGCAGGATGGCAGTGTGTTGGATTCTGTCATGGGTGAGTGCAACTAAAATTGAGATGGCATAATCTAGCCCTGCTCTCCATTGAAACTTAAGGTAGTACTAGGAGCAGTTTGGCCCTACTGCCTAGTAAAACTTAAGGGTAGTACTAGGAATGGTTTGGCCCTACTTTGACCCTGCTGTCCAAAACTTAAGGTAGTAGTAGGAGCAGTTTGGCCTTACTGTCCATTGAAACTTAAGATACATTAATACTAGGAGTGGTTTGGTGCAGTGTAACAGTTCCAGCTTTCATCGTTGAGGTCTGTGGTTCAATCCTCTTTGCATTGAATTTGTGTTCTTAGGCAATGTACTTTAATTTAAAATCTGTCTCTTATACACATCTAGATGTGTATAAGAGACAGGATATACTCTCGCTATTTTCTGATCTATCTGGTGTTTTCAGGCAGCTGGAGATGTACTTGATGTTGGCACAGATGAACCCTGATTTGTTGGGAGTATTAGGACAGGGTCAGCGAAGACTTATGCAAGAGCTGGATAGAGTGAAGAAGTCAAAAGAACTGGAGGTTTGTTGAATTTAATCCAAATAGTCACTTTAATTAACATGGTGTTTTTCGTTCTGGGTGTTTAACTTTTGGTCAGAAATTTCAGCTTTAAGTGCAAGAATTGTATGCTATAAAAATATAATAATGATGTAACCCTTTCCTTAAAGTGTCTTTTGGGCCTCATTTTAGGAGACTTTGGGGTGTAGCATGCCCAAGAATTTACCTCAGCAACTATATATTTAATTGTACTTAATTCTGATAATGATATATGCCTTCATTATTTTTTTTTTTAAACTTTAAGCTCTAATAGGCATTTGGAATGGAAATTCCTATGTTTATTTTAATATCGCTGGTGCTTTGTCATAATAAAAAAAAAAACGTTTTTGTGATTGAACAATTATTACTACAGTACAATACAAATACAGAAATTGAAACTACTTTTTTTTTTTTTTTAATTAAAAACTCAATGTAACTCTAACAACACCAAAGCTTTTGACTCTTTCTTTACTGATCATTGTATTATACATGCATGCTTACTGTGTTTTAAAAAAGAATAAATATTTTTTTCTAAAATTGTCATTTCCTATTAATCAATTGTTGTTTAATTAATCAATTATTTATAATCACATTGTTGTGTTACATTAGTTTATTTCATTTGTCTGTAGCAGTTGTATATGAAAAGTATATGTGTTTATTTCTTTCGAATTAATATTTTTAAATAATAAATATAGAAACTGACTGATGAAGAAAAAAGAAAAACAGATTCAGATGCATGGAGTGCATGGCTGAAGATGTATTCAACAAGGTTAGAGGCAGAGAGGTCAGATGGTGAGACCTTAATTACCGAAGAACTCATCCAGCATCGTGTTGACACCATGAACAAAAATAACCCAAAGTATATTCTACGTAACTACATTGCCCAGAATGCAATTACTGAAGCAGAGAATGGAAATTTTAATGAAGTGAGCCCTAAATCTTCCTAACCATCTCCTTTGCTGTAGAGTTCATTTGGTTATACCAGTATGAACTTGTTTGACCTATTTAAATTTCATTAAAGAATAGAAATATTTGACCATTCAAGAAATTGCATAACAACTGACTTGACATTTTTTTTATTTTGTGTACTTCTACTATAAATATATGATTATATTGGTTAATAAAAATGATTATGATGATAATAATATTAATAATAAAATTTAAGAATTATAATTATGAAAACAATGATAATGGTAATATTGTTTATTTTAACAGGTTCGTCGTGTTCTGAAATTACTGCAAAATCCTTTTGATGAGGCTCCATTTGAGAAGCTGGATGTAGATGAGGTGGAAGTTGCTTCAGAAGAAGGTAACTTTAGCAATTCTAATTGATGTTTATAAGTGTGTGTACAGCATTGCCCTTTTTTGACCAGTAGCAGCGCTACAAAGGCGGGGAGGGAGTGACAAAAACAAGAGAAATTGCAC